AACCTGGGACCAGAGCCATTCAGTTTATCTCATAAAACATGTAATTCAGTTTACGTACTATCAGCATGGTAAGCAGAATGAGGCCAAACTGCAATATTGACCTCAGTTTGGCTCCCCAGGGTCCTCGACCAGCCAGCTGAACAAACACCATAACCTTCAGGGTCTGCTCTGGAGAGCCAAGTGGCTTTCTCTTCAGGTTTCTGCACTGACTTTCTACCTGATGCAAGTACTTCAGGAGGATGCTGGAATGCACAGCCTTGGCCGGGTCTGCAGGAAGGAAGTCTGGGGTGGTTCTGTCATCCATAACAATACTGGCCTGACCTGAATAGTTGACCCTGACCTGAATGGCTCCAGGGCTGATATGATGTCATTGTTCACCTCAGCTTAAGTCTGGGACAGTTCAAACCACCCTTCCTAATTGGATAACTCCCATTTTAGGGTTAAGTAGTTTGGAGCAGGCTGCACATAATTAACAAATCAGTTATCCCTCTGGGGTGCCCCTCCTGCTAGTCAAGAATAGCTATACTTTGAGAGGTCATAGCTGTCTGCAGGTACAGGATCTACTGGTGGTGCTTGCTTAAACGCTTGAGGGTCTCTTAGAACCACCCGTAAAGTACAAGTCACCACATTTCTGGAGGGAGGTAAGTTAATGTCTGACTTCCACGTAAGTACTTCTGTGAAGAATGTGTGTCCCATCCTCCCCCACCCCCTGCAGCACAGGTGGGACCTACTTAGGTAGCACAGACCAGCTGTTTCTCCACTGTCCTCTCCTGCACAGATGGTAGGCACCAGGGCTCCCAGTTCAGTACAAATAACTGAATCTAGTACTTGTTTTTATTTTGGGAGGATTACCTGAAGGTAGTCAGTCATATCTGTCTTACTTGTCTATGCCACCAGTCAGGTGGCATTCATCTGCCCCTTGGGGTGACTGAATGAAAAGCTACAGGAATTGGGGGTGGCGGTTGGAAAGACACCTGGAGGAATTGGCAGGTGGTTTGGCTGGAGTCAGCAGATTGGATCGGGATTGTAATACCATAACATGAAAGAGTGCCTTTGATGGTGAGGCACCACTGATGGTCTGAAGATGGGGTTAAAGGTCAGATGTAGCTAGTCTGCCAGTGGTGGGAGATGTGGCGTCTCTCACCAGGAGACAGATGGGTCTTTCTCCTGGACTCACAGTGTGGGATGCAGTGGTTACCTCTGCATCAGGAACAGAATCCTTTACTCTGGGTCTTTTCAGTGATGGTCCACGTGTTGGCACATCTGGAATGGTGATGGATCTGCTGGCAGTGATGGCAGCCTGGGCAGTGCAGGCTTCATCAGCAGCTGGACTGCAGCTGGCCTCTTCAGACCGTAGGCCCTTACCATGGCCATGTGTTAATGACCCACATGGTCTGATCAGCAACTACAGTTTGTCTCCACAATTTATGTGGCCCATGTTTAAGATGTCAATCTGTCATTTTCCAAGTAGCAGACCCAAACAATTATTCCCAACGGGTACCAGCCTCAGATCAGTAAAAATCTAACAAGGTTTATCATGGAATATCGGCCAAATCTGTGAGAACATCTTTGAGCTCCGCCCACGGAGCATAGTAGCCATACCCACTTCTCAATTCTGTGTAGCTGGCACTGAGGTCAAACAGCACAGCAGTCCGTAGAACACCACAGGGTGTCAGCTTAGTTGAATTATTAGTGTACCAGGCCCAGGCACTTAGTGGATCCTCTGTGTATCAACGGCATTGGTTTAGGTGGCAGTATGGAAGAGACATTTTCCCTCAAGATGTAGCTGCCACTCTTTCATGTAAAGCTGGGATGTCACAGGAGCTGGGCTGGCTGCATTCCTGAATACACCAAACCCAAGGGGCACCTCCAATGGAGGCTGCTCCTCTTGCCAGAGGCTCCAGTCAGTAAAATCATCCATGCACAGCAACTTGTACTCAGAGGGGTCCTAAGGATGGTGGGCACTGGGACCACTAGTGCTCTTCTATGTGCCACTCTTTTCAGGTGGCATCATCTCCTCTGGCTCTTAAGAGCATTCACTGTGCAAGCATGAAAAATACCGATACCAATTATACATTCATTGGTGGAAGCACAGCAGTAATCCATCGAGTTGGTCCCAAGAACTCCACCCAGAAGGACGCATTAGCTTCTGTTTCCCACTGTGAACCACGCACAAACCTCATAGCTGAAAGCAGATACCCTCTCCCTCCACAGGATGGGGACGTGGGCTCCAATATGTATATATCAGCCAGCTATAAAATGTCCTGCCCTCCCCAGAGTGATGTCAGACACCCAGGTATGCTTGGTCTTCAATTTCCCTTGGGGACCCGGAGAACTTGGCCCAACCCATAATCATCTTTCTCTTAAGGGTATATGGGGAGGTTGGGAGAGAGTGACTCTGCTCCCATAAACAAGGTCAATTTATTTGTTTTGAGCAGTGCTGTGGCTGCAAGCAATCCTAGCCCACCTAAAGGCCTGCATTCTATTTTCTGTGGTAAGGTCATCATTGCTGATGGACATCATCCATTTCTGTTGGGAACACCTTTATTCAGCAGCTACAGCCATATTACTTCTTGGCGGGGGCCATGAGTTTGTACTCTCTGGTTGGCTTGGGCTTGATCCGCACGGTGGCATCATTGTTTTTAGGAGCTCGCCTTATGTGGGCTCTTGGCTGCTCCTTTGTCAAAAGACCAGCTCTGTGATTCTTGATTTCAGCGTAGGACTGGGAGTTTCCTGAAGCTGGCAGGGGTGACAGAATTTAATCTTTGGATGAGTTTCTCCTTCTCTGGTGAACTACCTTCATCATCCTATAAAACCCAGTTTAAGATGGAAGAGCCTGCAGGATGAATCAGTGCCCTTGGGAGATTGTTTCGGAGAAAGTTTCCCCAAAGGGCCAAAGCTGTCTCACAGCAGACAGGGCCCACTGTCAAAAATGCTGAGGTCTTTGCCTCATCTCAAATGAATAGAAGGTTGAGAAGACAAACTGCAGGAGGGACTGAGCAGGAAGATAGCCAGCTGTTGCCTTTCTTCTTCTTCTTCTTTTTTTTTGCCTTTCTTCTTCTTCTTTTTTTTTTTTGCCTTTCTTCTTTAACAAGCATTATGTATCCCCTCTGGCCCCTCAGGTCTCCCAAGCAAACTAGCCAGAGTTCGAGGTTCTCCTGGTTCTGCTTAGAGTGGTTACAGTTTTCCTTCTTTCATGCTCAGTATAGAAATACTGAAAGAACCTTATGTGCCCTTGCCTCCCTCTCCCGATAAATATTACTAGTTGTTTTCAGGGTCCACCAGGTGAGCTTAGTGAGTAGCTGGCAGTAGCCAGGGCATCATTCAGGCTGCTGCTTTTGAAACTACTTCCTGGTACTTGGCCTGAAGCTAACGCCCCAGCTCAGCCTCATTACTAAGCTGTGAGATAGAGGACCAGTTACTGCATGGGGGACCACACGATTTGATCATGTTCACTCACAATTCCCATGGACTTCTCTCAGTTTTCATTAGCTCTCCTTTCATTCCAACTCCAAACAGCTTTGTCTTTGTCAGCACTCCATCTTCATTACCGAAGCTTCAAACATTGTGAAGGGTTTGAGATTTTACCCTTCGCAGACGCTCACAAGTTAAGCCAGCCACAATTCCAGAAGACGTGAGACTCCAGGTTGGAGACAGGTCATTATTGTGGTCATAGTCAACACTGTCAGACATCAGCCCCACTTTCTATAGAATATGTCTGAGACAGCCAGGTGGTGCCTGTACATGTTCAGGTGTGTTCCAGGAAAGGAGCTCCCAGCTTAGGGGACCAGCTCTTTTATAATGGGCAGTAAGCCTTCTGACGTTATCTTTATTATACTGAACAGTAAGCCTGCCTTTTGTGATTTGAGGAGACACTATATCTTCTAAGGCTAGGGAATCAGCACCTCTTCTCACAAGGTGTGTAGAAATACACATAACATTAACCTTTATTTCCTGACAATCCCCCCCCCCCCCAGCCGCTTTCAATTCATTTCACATGCTTCTATTTTCTCACTGCTTTCTAACCCGTCTCATCCCAGTAGTCTTCTCTCTCTTCTCCTGTGCAAGAGGGATCTTTTAGAATGCAGACCTGATGATATTGCTCAATTTGAATTTTTTATTGGTTTTTCATTACTATTGGGACTTCACTGGTGGCTTAGATGGTAAAGAATCTGCCTGCAATGCAGGAGATCCGAGTTCCATCCCTGGGTCAGGAAAGTCCCTTAGAGAAAGGAATGGCTACCCACTCATTACTATTAGGCCAAAGCTTAAACTGTTGAGTGGTTGTGTAACTATTTCTAATGTGCTGACTGCTATCCAGTTTTTTTTTAAATACTGACAGTTAAATAAAAAAAACAAAAACCCACCTTTTTTAAAGCTATAAAGACCAGTACTAGGTAGGCTGCAGATGTGTGTGCTCCTTGGTGCTAAATCGTAACCCCTGGTCTTTTCTTTCCTTCTTAAACCTTTGTCTGTAATATGCTGTTCTTTTCGCCTTAAATAATTTCCATAATTTGCCTCTAATATTTCTGTTTATTTTTTTTAATGTACTTACTCTATTAAAGCCTTCTCAACCTAGTTGGATATCTTGCTCTGAACACCTTTAGAGTAATTGCAAATAAATTGTGTGTGTGTGTCACTATAGTAGTTACTTCATCTAGTTGTAATTACTGATTTATCTGGTCTGTATCGCCACAAAGTGTAAGCAGCACAGAGTAGGAGTCCTCCCTTTCCACACATACCAGGTCTTTGGGAGAGAAAATCGCTTCCCTCAGAATCACTTTGGAATCAAAACCAATAGTTTAGTTGGTGCTTTTAATCAGCTTTAGAGATTCCATGTTTTGACGTCAAAGATATTAATTTGCTTAATTTTGAAGGGGAGCATGTAGTAGTATTCACTGGAAAATAGACATGTGATACAGTCTTAATATGCAGACATTATATATATTATGTACTCTGCCAAACAATATTTTCTTGCTTTGTTCAAATTTAAAATATAGACTGTGGACATTCATAAAGAGAAAGTGGCTCGAAGAGAGATTGGTATTTTGACAACAAATAAGAATACATCAAGAACTCACAAAATAATAGCACCTGCGAACATGGAGCGGCCTGTCAGGTATATTCGGAAGCCTATTGACTATACGGTTCTGGATGATGTGGGCCACGGCGTCAAGGTAAGTGTCCTAAGTGTTTGCAGGCTATGCAGTTTCAGAGTAAACTTGAATACATAGTAGAAACAGTTAAAATTATTTGTTAATAATAATAGCTACAGAGCCTGGTTCATAACTGTGAAGGATTTTCCACATGTCTTTTTTTTCAAGCCTTGAAAAGATCATGTGATCTAAGGGTTGTTCCGTTTTATTAATGGAAACACTGAAGTTTTATAATACATAAGAATGGTGTTTTTAAAGGTTTCAATTTTATTAGAGGAATGAACTGATGAATCATTTCAAAGAGGAGCTGGCATCTTACAGAGTTTCATTCCTGTGGTATGGGAAGTTTATAATCTACTTAGGGCCTGAAGATAGGGTGGAATAAGAGAGTTCTATTGTTTTCAACCTTAGATTCCAGGGAGATGGTAAACGGACTCATCCATAAATGTAGATGTTAAGGAAATGAAGTGAGATCTTAAGGAAATGAAAAGCCTAGTTTTATTTCCTTAAGATGTTTTATTTCTAAAACGTGCTTGGGGGACATTGAAGTGGAAGTTTTTAAGTTGCTCACCAGTTACATTTTGAGTTGTAAGGTACAGAGATCATTTCCTTCCAACACTCCCAACATCTTTGTGTAAATTTACACACACTTAACAGAGGAAGCTGTGCTCCATAACAGGTTAAAGGTTACACCATTACACAGTAGCAGAATTCAAGTAAAATTTTTATTCCCAAATAAGTTGTCCTTTCACCCTTTCATTTGGGATTAGTTTATACTTGAATGCTATTTTTTTGTTTTCTCTTTCACTTGAAACAGCATATGAGGGAAGATGTATGGTCATATTTAGAATATTTCTAAGTTACTTTAGTATTTAGTGTATTATAATGCTATCACATTAATATGTCTTTTCAGCAAAGATAATAAGGCTATTCAAATTTAATTTCTAAATCCAGGTGTGAAATGTAGTGGCAAGGTAGGATTCCATACATTGTTTAATCTAGATAATAATGAGCCGTGTTAGTCTAAACAAATGTTAAAGAATACCAAAGTTCTGGCATGGTTTCTAGCCATAAGAATATGGGTCCAGGTATATTCCATTTTTGGATGCTTTCCTTAATGTTGCTTTTATGGTCACTTGAAAAATGATAAGATACAAATTTAGAATGGCAGATGAGATGGAAAGAACTTGAGGGAACCCTTTTTTCTCCAGTGTAGAAAAAGACTGCAATCTGAAGATAGTTTTCCTTAAGTGGCATGTTGCAAGTAGGCTGCCTTGGACACATCAGTTCGTATATATAAGCTGGCCAGGTTTCAAAGATGTAGCCTTTAGGATCAAAGCAGCTTTTTTTCAGTTTTGAATTTTGGTCAGACTTGTTCAGAAGGAAATTTAGAACTAAAACAAACTCTGTCTACTAGTGCTGGCCTCTTAGGATTTAGTTCTTAAGCTACAAATGAGACGGTTTCCAGACCCTATTTGTTTGTTTGTTTGTTCCTTAATTAGAATTTGGCTAAGATGTTATGGTGCATTGTAATTTTGTTTTAAACCCTGAGTTGCTAGGTCCTTTTCTGCATTTGGAAGCAACCTGCAATTTTGGATTTTAACATTTACAGTTGATCACTCTTTAAAATTCTGTACTACCATTCAAATAATGAAGCGTGAGCATTCATTATCCAGTAGTCTTAAGGTCTGTGGACTGATGTATTAAAATAGCCATACATTTAATGAGATATGGTGTTTGTATTTAAATCAAAGTTTGTTTTTTATCATCCATGATTCAGTTGAATTAGTTTGATAGGATAAAATACTGACCTAAGAAATCACATAATTTGCATGAGATTGGCATAATTAAGTGGTAATTTTCTTATGAATTATATTACTTTGAATAAATACGTGATACCTATGAATATTTCCCTACTGCTTGTGGATGACTTTTCTTTATAAAATACTTGAAATATGACTGGGTAAAAGCTTATTAACATGAATCAAGTAACTGTCCTATCAGATAAGATATCTAGAATTAATTTCTACTTTTTCCCCCCTTTTATGCCAACGTAAAGTGGCTAAAAGCCAAGGTAAGAGATACTACTTATCGTTTCATCCACAGTGTTCCTCCTGTATTGGTAGAGGCTGCAGAGCCACCGAAACTTGAAAACGCCTCCTGTGTCTGTCTGCTTCTCCCCGTAGGGTTCATGTGGGCTTGGTACACGCAGACCCGGTTCACGTCAGCAACACTGAGCTTGGGTGTGTTAATATATCAGAGATATATTGACATCTGCATTTATATAGGAACATTAATTTTGCTAACATTTATTGCTTTGCTCGTTTTTTGATAGTTGCCTTGCTTTTATTGACTTACAATTAGGAGGTTTCCCAGACATTACATGTGACTTTGTTACTGAGTTGTTGGGATAGAGATGATTTTTCAGATGAATATTTTAGCAAGTTGACAGAGATCTGTCGTTTATATTCATGCACACATTTTGAAAATTTCAGGAAACCGTATATTTGAATTGCAGATAAATTAGATCTCAGTGAACATGTATAACAATAAAATATATAAAATTCAGTAATCTCACCTGTATTTTGCAATTATTTGGCATGAAGGGTGCAAAATAATATGAAAAGCCAAGTGCAAGTGGTATCTTGACTTTTTAAAATATAGTACCAAAGTCTGTTGTTAAAGCTGTCTGGGAATCCTTATTTCACATTCTGATATTTAAAAAATAATAATACATGGTGTCAAAACACCAAGAGAACAATTTGATATAAAAATAAAAGCATCTCTTTCCACATTTTAGCATGGAAATAACCAGCCTGCAAGAACTGGCACACTGTCGAGAACAAATCCTCCTACTCAGAAACCACCGAGTCCTCCCATGTCAGGCCGGGGAACGCTGGGGTAAGAACTCAGTTACATCCATGTTCTTCAGATCCAATGAGGGAAATCCAAAATGAATCCAAAATGAACCTGCCTGTTCTGTAATTTCTCTGAGGAACTCTGTACTAGAAAAGTTTTTTGTATGTGTATAAATGAGCATTGTCTATTATTTTCCAATTCATTAAAAATTTTATATACATATGTATAAATCTGACCTTAAAATGAAATAACCAGAGGTTTTCGTATATATTGTCTTCACATGTATTTGCAATATTTATATTACAGAACTTTGAATAAGTGGCCTGTTTTGCATACTTTGGTTTGGTAGCTTGCAGTTCTTCCATTTCCCCCATTTCTGTTTCACCTGAGACTTGGGAATCTTTACTGGGATCCTTCTAACTGCTTCTGCTGGTCATTTTGGGGCCCTTCATTCTAGAGTAGCTTTGTGAGAAGGCCAGTGCAGAAGTAGAAAAGATAACAGTTTGTGCTTTCTTCGTTCCCAATTTTCAATGCAATGCAAATACTGAATACTTGGTAAGACAGTCCTGAAAGATCATTCACGTTATTGTAGACTATAGACTCCTTGTTTTTGGTGGAGGGGTGGTAGAATCGTTACTTAATAGCAACCAACTTTTTTTGTAGGCTCTTAGTTTCTGTTTTCATTTTGTGAACCCCCTTGCCCCTGAAAAAAAAACATGAAGTTGTTAAATAGAAAAGTTAAAATCATTTATTGAGAAATTAATGGCATCACCACTGGGACCAGAATGTACTTGCCCATGTATTAATATTTCCATGTTGAGGTAGGAATAAATTGAAGAGGAGATATTCAGCTACCACAATATATAAGGACAATGCCTTGTGGGCTACTGAGTTGGGAATCATATGTATTTCAAAGTTTCATGTTACTGAGCATTTAAAAAATTACAGCTACTATTTTTAGAAATAAGATTAGTTAGAACTTTTACCTTTCTCAGTGGTTTTCCTAAGAAAAGGTAACAGATTTTAGCTTTTGTTAAAGTAACAAAATTCATCTCTTCCAATTAAAGCATTTTTTAAAAACAAACTTTATAATTTAAAAAAATTGTGTTATACTTGGTAATAAAGGGATAGTCACAGATTTGGGGGAAAATACCATTTTCTCTTTCTCATCCACTACTCCTTTCTCTATTATGCTTCTTTAGACGAAATACTCCTTACAAAACCCTTGAGCCTGTTAAACCTCCAACAGTTCCTAATGACTACATGACAAGTCCTGCGAGGCTGGGAAGTCAGCATAGTCCAGGCAGGACGGCTTCTTTAAATCAGAGACCGAGGACACACAGGTAAATTTTTAGGTTGAGCCTTTGAACAGCTGAGAATGTAGGTTATTGGTTTTTGACACACTCCTGTAGAATTATAGGTAAAGTGCTCCTCTGATGCTAACATAGATGGTAAGGTTGAGGATGATGCTACTGTATACCTTTCTGTACATTTATATCATGAACTTGTACTTTTTTAGATTTTTTAGTATCTATACTGCTAGCAGATAGCTAGTATTTCCTCTGACAGAGGTACATATGTACATTTGGATGAAGTCTATAAAGAATTTTTTTTTTTAATGGTCATTTAGGAAAAAATGATCAAGATAACCACTGTGAAGTTTTTTGGGTAAATGGTTGAATATCAGAAACTATACAATGAGATTTAAACTTGAAGCTCTGAGGAAGAATTTCTTAGGAGAGTTGATAGACTGTAGAATATGTTATTATATAAATTGGTTTTTTAAAAAGTTCTAGAAATCAACTACCCAGTGAATTTCTTTTCCCCTTTATTTTTTAAAAATTTATTTTATTAATTTTTGGCTGTGCTGGTTCTTTGTCGCTGTGCGGGCTTTTCTCTGGTGGAGGTGAGCAGGGGCTACTCTCTAGTTGCAGTGCACAAGCTTTTCATTGTGGCGGCTTTTCGTTGCAGAGCATGAGCTCAGGAGTGCGTGGGCTTCAGCAGTGATGGTACGTGGGCTGAGTCCTTGTGGTTCTCAGACTCGAGCAAGGGCTCAGTAGCTGTGGCGCCGTGGGCTTTTAGTTGCCCTGCCACATGTGGGATCTTCCCAGATCAGGGATCGAACCTTTGTCTCCTGCATTGGCAGGTGGGTTATTTACCACTGAGCCACCAGGGAATCTACCCACTGTATTTTTAAAAACTTGGTATGGAACATAACGTGCATTTCAGAAAAGGAGATAATTTATTAATATGAAACTTGATGTATTAATACAAACTGAATATAGTCATGTAACCATCACGCAGGTGAGAAAATGGAGTAGTACCAACAACCCAGAAGTCCGCCTCAGGCCTTTCCCAATGATTGCTTCTACCTCCCTCCCCTTAAAGTCACTACTTCATTTGGAGAGTACTTTACTGTATAGTTTAATTTTTTAATTTAATTTTTACCTCTCACTTAATAACTTGGGCAGGGAACTGCTCTTTACCTTGATTTTTGGTTGGTTTTATTAGAGATATAACTTGGTAAAATTATTTTGAAGGATTCAGTTAACATAGGGTATACCAAGCTCTTAAATGCTAGGTAATTGTTATCTGTTGTTATTATTTCTGTTAGTAAATAAATTGTCATATTGATGTCTGCAGTTACAGTATCAGTTACAGTATGAATTCAGTGAGGATCAAAATTGTTTTTTAAATTGTTTCTTTATATGTTTATTATTGAATTATTACATCAAAGCATGATTTTTCTCTCTAGTGGATGTAGTAATAGTTTAATCATATTCAATAACTAAGTTACTTCATTATACCAGGGATATACCAATGAGATATGGTTCTTTTTTTCAGGAACTTGTTCTATTAGAATAGGGATCAACAGACTTTTTTATCAAGGGCCAGATTGTCAATACTTGAGGATTTGTGGTCCATATGGTCTCTGCCGCAGTTACTCAGCTCTGTGATGAGAACAGCCATCAGCAGCACGTAAATGAATGAGCATGGCTGTGTTCCAACAAAACTTAATATATGGCACTGAAATTTGAATTTCACATAATTTTAATGTGTCATAAAATATTATTCTTTTGGTTTTTTCCAACTAATTAAAATATAAAAAAGTGTTCTTAGCCCATGGGTTATAAAAATCATTCTATGGGCCAAATTTGGCTTGCAGGCTGTAACTTGCCAACCTTCATGTTAGAAAAAGGCATACAGATTAGTTAATCATACAGGCACATAAGTGCATCTGTCTGTTACATGGTGGTGGCCCAAAGCAGAGTATTGACAAGCTTGGGAGGAGGGAGGCCTTCACACCAGAGCTATTTTTGTTATATATATATTTTTTCCCCTTCTGTTAGTATGTGACAGTGTAATTATAGAGGGATCATATTGAAGAAAATAAATTAACCTAGACAGTGCAGATTATTACTCTGCTGGGTTTCTGGGCCTGTTGAACCAATGATGTTGAGTTTTAAAAATATAATATGGAGCTTCAGGCTACATGGGTACATATGTATATTTGCATGTGTGTACATGTGCACTCCTAAAAGGAATCAACCCTGAATATTCATTGGAAGGACTGAAGCTGAAGCTCTAATACTTCAGCCACCTGATGCAAAGAACGGACTCATTGGAAAAGACTTTGCTGCTGGGAAAGATTGAGGACAGAAGAAGGTGGTGGTGGTGGCAGAGGATGAGATGGCTAGATAGCATCACTGACTCAGTGGACATGACTTTGAGCAAATTCAGGGAAATAGTGGAGGACAGGGAAGCCTGGCGTGCTTCAGTCCATGAGGTCACAAAGAGTCGGACATGGTTTAGCGACTGAACAACAACATGTCCACTTCATGTTACTGAAACTGGTCAGTGTGAGGTTGTATGCCTAAAGACAGTGAGTCCATAGAAGTTAAAATTTAATAGTATCCACTATTCTAGAATGTTCCTTGGTGAAATTTCATTATTGTCTTTTTCATTTGCTCATTTTTCCAAAAATTTCCCTGTCTTATTACTGTTCTTTGAGATTAATTAGAGGTGTGCATACGAATTTCAGACTAAAGTTGGTTACCGTTTTTATTAACTTCCATAGCATCTTTTGTGGCTTCCGTCCCACTATTTTTTAATGTCTGTTTTCCCATTCTCAGCCAAGAGTCCCATGACAGTGTAGTTCATGTCTGCTTTGTTTACTACTGTTTATACTAGGTTTTAAATAAATCCTTGCTGATTCATTGTATATTAGATGGTATTGGTCATTTGTTTCTCAGTGCTCTTACAGTTCTGAGTACTATGTGATTATATTGATTTTTCAGTAGATGGAGAAACATAGTGAAACACATGGACTTCCCTGTAGCTCAAATGGTAAAGAACCTGCCTGCGATGTAGGAGACCAGGGTTCAGTCCCTGGGTTGGGAAGTTCCTCTGGAGAAGGGAATGGTAATCTACTCCAGTATTCTTGCCTGGAGAATTCTAAGGAGAGAGAAGCCTGGCAGGCTACAGTCCATGGGGTCGCACAGAGTCGGACACGACTGAGCAACTAACACACACAGTGAAACACAAAAACCACTTCAGGTATTAGAGTTAAAATTTGTATTGGACAGTTAGAACGTTTCTTTCTATGTAAGCATATGTATACATATGCACACACACACATCCATCCTAATAGTATCTGGTGGCTTTGAGTTGATTATGTTTTTGGAAGGAATCCCTAGAATTGCTGTTTCCATGATTTTTCTCTCTCGCAGTGGAAGCAGCGGAGGAAGCGGCAGCCGAGAGAACAGTGGTAGCAGCAGTATTGGCATTCCCATCGCCGTGCCTACACCCTCACCACCCACCATTGGACCAGGTGTGTCATCAGCTAATCCATTGTCACATGTGGTAGTATTTATGAGCTTTATTATGGAAGTCTGAAGCAATTTAGTTACATTAGATAAAACTATTAATTAAATTTATGTGATTGTTGCCAGAATGAAAGCTAACAAATTTAAAAACAATTTTTGATTGGTTTTCAGAGTCTTTAGAGTTTTGCAGCTGTTTCTCCTTACTTATTTAAAAAAAGCATATTAAATAACTTTTGGGCCATTTTGCTTTAGAAATACGTGGGCACTAGTCAGAAATAATAATTATTATTTCAAGAGCAAACCAATATTGTTGATACTTCAACTGAAAGATCAGTGTCTTTAATGTGAATTATGTATCACTGAACTTTGATGTTGCCTTGTAGGCTGGTAGGTGTATCAACTCTGGTGATAGCTGGTTGTGACTTTGCTGTTTTTATGTATGATATTCGATACATATGTCAGTAAAACGCTGTGAATGTAACATGGAATTAAACTAGGAAAAGCTCTTTTACTTTTTAGATTATATAAGAAATTTAAGAAATCATAGTAGAGCTATGATTAGCCCCTTGATTGTTTGTTTAGTAAATGAAAGGAAGACTTTTTGGTGATAAAATATACATTTGAAAAATGAGTTTGATAATTAAAACTGGGAAAAATTCTTAGTTTCTCAAGGATGTTGTTGAAAAAGGAGAAAAAGCTACTTATAAAAATAGGCGTATTTTATAGTTAATGAAAGTGTGGACTCAGTGACCTTATTACCTTGTAAAATTCTTGTTCTTTGGAACATGCTTTGCATATGGGTGTCTTTCTCTCTTTTTTACTTCTTTCCAAAGCATTGTACTTTCTTACTGTTTCAGGATGATTAGTTCTCTTTCTTGCACTCTGACCTGAATTATAAACTATTTTATTAGAAAACATTTCTGTCCTTCCTCCTTCTGGAGCTCCACCAGCACCACCTTTTCTACCACCCCTCCCCGCGAACCCTGTGGTAGGTGAGACTGCATAACCACTGGAGTGGTTTAACTTACTGCGCCTAGTTCATAGTCAGCTCCTATTACACGGTTAGCTTTTGTGGTTATTAGCTTGTAGGTGGTAGTACAAAGTTTTAAGTATTAAATCTAATTTACACTAATTTCTCCTTGTGAAAGGCCTCTGAAGTTACGCAGAAACTTCTCTGTGATGTCAAATGTGTCTCTGCCTTGTTTATAACCAATTTAATGTGGTTTAGCTTTTGTTTTGTTTAGATCTTTCAAGGAATATTATAGCAGTGATTGTTCCCAAAAAATTTTTTTTATTAGCGATGCAGTATTTTTTTAAAGTGAGACTTGATTTGGAATTCCCTGGTGTATACAACAGTCAAATGATTGGGGTGAAGGTGGAGGACAGGAGGAAGAAAAATGGAAAATAGAATGATGTGTGGGGTGCTCTGAGGCTTTCCTGTGGCTCACAGTTGAAAAACTTTGATACAGTTGAGGATTTATGGCATCTGAGGGGGCCATGAAAACAGTTTTTACCAATAAAATACATTTAAATTGTTCCCAGGTTGATGGAGACTGGATTGAGCATATAAGAATTCCAAATATAGACTATATAAAACCATTCAGCCTAGAAATGCACAGTAGCATTTGGGTGGAAATGGATAAAGAACTGTCTCAAATAATGGAGCTTAGGTGAAATAAAACCTTCTAGCATCTTCTTTTAAAAACATTGGCACTTGTACTCAAAAGAAAAGGGGAAAAGGAAGTAATAAAAAAAGGCCCTAGTAAAGAAGTTGTTGGCAGAAAGTTCATGTGGAAAAAATAATGCCCTCAACCTAATTAATACTCAGGAAGACAGAAAATAAAAACCAGTGGATACTATTTTATAGCTACTAGATAGGTAAACATGTCAAAGTCCCCTAGTACCAAATGTCATTGAGGATGTGCAGTAACAGAAAGGTAAGGTATATTGCTGGTGGGAGTTTATTAGTTAATATGCTCCCTTTAGAAAGTAATTTGTTGTTACTCAGCCAGGTTGAACCAGGTTTCTTACCTTAGAATTATCAATTTCATTTCCATATATTTCCCCTAGAGTACTGGTTGTCAAAATATAGGTATGTGACTGCTGGGTGTTGCCAAAATTCTTTCTTGGCATTTTTGAGGTTAGAACTATCTCCATAATAATACTAAGACTTGTTTCCATTTTCATTCTCATTCTGGTACCAGGACACAGTGGAATTTTCCAGAGGCTACGTAACTTTTGACAGCTAAAGGAATGTGTACTTGTATTCATGTGTTTTAAAGATAAATCAGATTTAATTTCTAATATGGTAATTACCTATTCCTGTAACTCACTTCAATAAAAATTTTTTGAGGTTCTCTAATTTTAGAGTGGACCCTAAGACCAAAAAGTTTAACCACCACTGTATTAGAGCAGTGGCTTTTGAAATACGATTTCCGGATCAACAGAATCATTGTTGTGGGGAGCTAGTTAGGAATGTAAATTCTCAGGTCCCATTCCAGACCTCCTCATTCAGAAACGGAGACGAGCCAAGCAGCTTGTATCACAGTAGGCCCTTAAGATGAAATTCTGATCAGTGTTTGAGAACCACTGTTTCAGAGAAGCTGAGGAACCATATTTAGGAATGTTCATTATGTGGTATAATAATAATAGCAAAAATCTGGATGCAATTCAGATGTCTAACGGTGGAATGGAAAAGTAATTGTAATTGTGGCATGTTTGTATGTAAATAAAGCAAAAAAATGAATGATATATCGATATACTTACCAACATGAATGAATCTTAAAAAATATAAAAGGAAATCAGCAAACCAACAGAATATATAATCCTATATAACCAAATATACAAATAATATTTATATATGTAAACATTATATATAACCATTATAAATAGTTATATAATATACATTAGTATATGTATTATTTATATGTACACAGCGTATATATATGTCAGTCACATACCCTTTAACATTATGACTTATTTCATAATAAAATACTAAAATAAATTCTAAAATTGGCCTGGTTTGCACTATATAAATAGCTCGATTTGGTTTTCAGTCACCAAAAAAAGTCACCTGAATTTTGTATAGTTTTTATATGTCAAAGAAATACAAAAAATCATTTCAAGATTTCTATTAAAAATGGTTAAAGGATTACCTCTTAGCTCCTTGGAAAACTTAGCTGTCCAGAATTACTCATTCTCAAAGGCATTTGAATAGACAGTTATTTTAAAAGTGTGTTTAGAAAATGAGTGTGTGGATGATTTAGTGACTGCCTATGGCTTGGGACCTCCAAAATGTTAAATATTAGCACTTCTTTTAATGAACAACCTCTGCTGTATGATTTTTCTAATAATTTGTATGGCCTCTAGGAGAGGTTGAATGAAAGGAAACCAGGATTCTGCCTTTTTATTTCTTCAGTCGTGGTTAGATGTTTGGGAGAATGATGTAAATCCTGAAGTTGCCTGGAAGGTATAGTTAACTTTAGAGGCTTTGAACTTTATATTAACCTTTAAAATTTTAAACTTTGACGATGTTGATAAAGATGGCATTGAATAAAATTTTAAGTATTGTTAATACTTGAGTTAGTTTTAAATATGCTTGAAATTAAAGAAGAAACGATTGCTTTGGATGTACTATGGGGGAAAAAAAAGCCCTCCAAATATGTGGGAAAAGATAGGGGATTTTCTACCCAAAGCTGCCCTAGAATGTCCATGTTTTACAGTCTTAAAGTTTTTTCAGTTTTATCAATCACAGAAATTTCAATGATAGGGTAAAGTGTGTAATTCTTAAAAGTTTGGAGATAGACAACAAATCTGACATAGGTGCTTTGAAGCTAGAAATTGTGCTTCTCTAAAAAAATGATTTTACTATAATAGGTATTGATAATAACTGCTAATACAATAAACAGTCAAATAAATATACTAGTAAATGTGGAAAATAAGCCTAACTATTTAAACTTTATAATTTAAGCGGGTTTGGCTGGCTAGATTCTTAGACTGCGTTTCTGTAGACTTGCCAGTGAAAAGGAAGAAGTGTACAATCCAGATACTAAGGTATTCACATCTAAAAACTAATGCTTTTCACCTCAGACTGTCATTTGGTACTTATCTTGTTGGAGAGACACAGTTGACGTATAAAAACTATATGTTCTAAAATAACAAAAAGATTATACATTTTATTAGCAAAATACCACTTGGGATTATGCTAAATTAAAAGGTTGAAGAATGTTTCATACTTAACTTTTGCACTTTCCACACAGTATCTGTTTTTTCTGCTTTTTTGTAAGTTTTTGTAAGTTCAGAGATAGAGCTATTTGTGTTGTATCTTTACTTTTCTCTTTATTTTGTGCTGTGGACTTTAAAAAGTGATAAAAAAACGTTTCTTGCTGAGAGTCTGCTGCTCTTTGTGCTGCCATCGGAGGTTACTGCAGTGCTCAAGTTCTTTGTTGGTTGCCTTTGACTCATGCTTTCCAGCAGCCCCGGGCTCAGCTCCTGGTTCCCAGTATGGCACAATGACCAGGCAGATTTCTCGGCACAACTCTACCACCTCCTCGACATCTTCTGGTGGATACAGACGGACCCCCTCTGTGACGGCTCAGTTTTCTGCTCAGCCTCATGTTAATGGAGGGCCACTTTATTCTCAGAATTCAAGTAAGCTTGTGCTTAGCAGGCGCACGCAGCAGTGGAGCTCCTTTTGAAGGAAATTATTTTAAATTGTTCTTGCCAGTGATAGACAACAATTGAAACCATGTTATTTCATGTTTGTTTTTGTTTTAAGATGAGACCTTGAATCTTATCATTTTAAGAATAATTGCTTATCACTTTCAAAAACTTCCGACTCACTGAGTATACTATAAATAGAACTAAAGAGGAAAAACTGAAATTAATTAAGCTGAATTTTAAAATATTGGCATGTTTGATACAGTTTGATAACAGTAAAATTAAAAATATTGTGACAATTTTTCTTTTCAATAATATAACAAAATTGCTGGCTATCACTTTTAAGCTTGTTAACCTATACTGAAATGAGTTCCAGACCATTAAAAACCATTCTTGATGCCTGCTTATTCTGTCTCTAATAATTATAACAGTGGGGAGGACTTTTCTTTTGACAAATCCTTTCTGTTCACCTCAGATTGCACATCTCAACACTAACTGCAATCAGTGTTTAAAGGCTGATAAGATTAGAAAATAACTTTGGCATAAAATGTGAAAAAGTTCCACTTGCTTAGAGTGAGTAGTCATTAATTTCACTTTCCGTATCAGGATGCTCAATCCAAACAAGAGAAATCTGAAATGAGCCAGTTGTTCAGTATTTGTTATTGGCTTGAAACAGTGATCACCAGACATAGACTGAAACACACCTTCTTGTGTGGTTTTTCTAGCTACTTTCTGGAGCTGCATGTTATTTTATGTAACCTAAAAAATACTGAATACTCTGTATTTACACAGGAAGTTGGTTTTAAATTCTTTATATTTATGATGCATGTTTTTAACAAGTGTTTTAAAGTAGAACTAAATTCTCTCTCTTTTTTTGGGGGGGTTAAATTTTAGTTTAAAGACTTCATTGTGGTTATAAGCAAAAAAACCTTCTAAGAATTGAAAATCACTTTAGCAGAAATATCATAATTCACAAGTAATCCCAAAATTTATATTATTAGAAACCTTTTCCAGACTGAAGTTTTCATCCAAGCTCCTGAGAAACTTTACCAATTAGAATTTTACCTCACATTTCCCCTAGTCTCCTTTTTGGTAAAGAAAAGTAGCTGGTGGCTGAGAATTCCACCATCAGAGCAGTTGATCTGATCATTAGTTTCACTAGTTTCATGAACCTTTTTTTTTTTTTTTTCGTATTCTGCATTTTTAGATCTCATCTTTGTGTTATTTTTCTTTTCCACACTTAGACATTTATTTAGTTTACTCCGCAAATAGGACTTCTGGTGACTCTTCACCTGATACATGTTTGTGTAGTTCTGTTTTAACACTGCTTGGGTTGGTTGCTTATCCTCAAAGAAGACATTGTCACTACTGAATGTCCATATTTTTGGATATGTAAAGCAAGTTTGCCTCACATTTTAAACATATTATTATGTGTTGTCAAATCAATTATCCTTCAACCTGAGTTACTGTTGGTGTTGTAGTGGTAGCATGTGAGTGTTTTTAGTGTTTTGATGTGCATATTCTGTGCATATGATTAGTATTGTTGCAGCATAACCTTTCTTTTCTTTATGTACTAACCAGCATGGCTAGTTACTAAGGGTTATTTTTTAAAATTTTTAGGTTTGTGGAAGTTAAAAAAATTTTTTTTTACATTGAAAAGGTATATAATCTTTTATTTATTAAAGCTATCATATATAAATGTGTATATACTGGAACATTATATACACACATGTATATACAAGTATATACACACATGTATATACTTCTGTATACAGAGTGTCAGAATGAACCAGGACTTATTTCATAGTGAATTGAATGTTGTTTTTAGCCATACAATGAATATAAATACACATACATTGCTTTGTTGTTTATCTGTACACTGAACCTCTTTCAGATTTTTATGCTTACTAAACAATTTTTAGATTGGATTAATGGAAACAATCTTTCAATTAAATGATCTTTGGGAGTCAATAAATTTTCCCTGTCAATTTAGTGTCATTTCTTGGTGACTGCCAATAAACAGAATTTTGTGATATAAAAGGAAGAAGGTCCCTTGAAATATCCTTGAAATTCAGTGAACAATTAACACGGTATATGGACCACTCTTATTCCCTAGTAAATTTAAGAGTGATGTATTTAAAATTGTCAACTTAAAAAATAATAGTAACCTTTTTTTTTACAAACAAGGATTTTTCCTAGAGAGATGATATAGATATATAAAAAATATTTAGCTACATAATGAGATTATATTACTGTATGTAATAAGATTATATTATATAATCAATCATACAATGTTATATAATTGTATAATGTATAAGTATTATAATTTATGTTTATTATTAAATCATGTAATTTACATGATGAATCACATTTTATACTATCATGTAATTATATAATATACATTATATAATTAATCTTATTATAATGTATATGCATGTTATATATAATAAGATTATATATAATTTAGATATATGCTATAGATACATAAGAACTGTTTTTAAAGGAAACCTATAACTAATGCATTTATGTATACATGGAATAAACAGCTATTCCATAACATTTTTGTTTTGTTTATTTGAATTCTGATTTACAGCATTATCCTTAAGCTAGACATACTTGTTAGGATTAGAGAGGTAAGGTGAACTAACAGTATCCTGGAAACCTTTCTTGGTATTTCATTCTTACCTGTTTTGTTAAAGTCTTTCCTTAGAATTTAAAATTTTCATTGCATGGAAGTGAAGGTGATGGTAAATCTAAATCTTCCCCAAACAATGTAACAGTAGGATTAAAATAAACGTATTTGTTTTTTTAATAAAATTACCAGTTGGCTAAGCACAGCTCAGCTTTAGGTTTGTTTGTGGGAAATGAAGGTTCTGCAGGTTTTTGTTTTGTTTTTTGTTTTGTTTTGTTTCATTTACAAACTGTTCTTTGCATACTTATGTTTGTGGTCCTTGTAACTGACTTCTGCTTTTTGTTTGTTTCCTTTTCTTTCCTTTATCTGTTTTACTTCCCCCATTCTGTGTTGTCACCGCCAGTTTCTATTGCTCCACCCCCTCCCCCTATGCCTCAATTGACTCCACAGATACCTCTCACAGGCTTCGTGGCCAGGGTGCAGGAAAACAGTAAGTTTGGAAAACCTGAGCTGTCCAAGAGTAGAGGCTGTCTCCTTATAGCATGCATGGCTGATGAGTCATCATTTTCCTTACTTTTGTTGAGAAGCTAATCTTGAAAATAGGTGCAGATCCGTTATTGAAACTGAAGAGCACGATCTTCAGTTTTCTTCTGTGTGCATGGTTACTGACTCAGATGACTGTCACAACTGCAATTTCCTTATGTATTCACATGCTCTAAAACATGAAATCAGATCTTTGCAGATTCTTAAGGAAAGCATAATCAAAGCCTCAAATTAAAATTGTGTGTAAACTACTAGCTTTCAATAGTTTTTAGGGGAACTAGTTTTCTGTTGCCAGCAAACTCATCAAGATGCATAGTTACACTGTGAGATTAAATAAGTAAATTACATCCATGCACCCATTTAAGTGATGATCTGTGTAGAGCCCTCTTTATGTTTTGGCCCATGAGGATGATTTCTGAACAGGCAGACTTGTCACATTTTTTTAGGTCTTTTTGAAGGAAGGTCAGATTGACTAGGAAATTCTTTTGAATATATGAATTAGGATAGAGGTGTTTTTTTTTTTTTTTTTAATTACCACCTGATTACTTTGACATTCTGGGAGATACATAATCCTAACTACATGATCATAGTGAATGTTATTTGGCAAAATGGAAAATATTACTATTATTGAATTATATTATGCCAAAAATGCTGAAGATGGTAGGGTGGTCTAGTACTAATTCACTTCATTTGGCTTCATCACCATGCAGATAAATCTCAGAATGGTTTGAACAAGATGTGTAACTCAAATGACCAGCCCATCTTCCAGGAGAAAACATTGTGGCACATTCCATCCTACAGCTTCTCCTGACCTTGTTGTGTTATTCTCCACGTTTCCTCCCTTCGTCCAGTCAAGTATTTGTTTATTCAGTGTTCCGTCCTAGGCTCTGGGAGGAATAGACATAGTCTAAGACAAAGTCCCCATCTTTAAGAAATGTGTGATTTAGTAGACTTTCTATAAAACAGTTTCACAATGCTAAAATTTCTGAGCCTAAACCAACCTTATCATTTACATTTGGTTGGAAACTTATGTGTTTAAAGATGTAAAAATAAGTGAATCTTCTTTTAAAAAATTAGTGAATAAAGGTAAATTGCTGGTTCTTGGTGCTCTAAGAGTTTAAAAACAAAGCCAGTTCAACCTTTGAACTGCCTAATAGCTGAGAATTTTTAGGAAATGTTTTAAAATAGCCATAATAAACATCCATTTAGTGAGTCCAAAGCTCATTGATTAGATTTTTGGTAATCCTTTTTTTAAATAGACATTCAGTGTAATGTACATGTATGGTCTTTGTTCTAGAGGCCATGGTACTATTTCAGTTCTTCTCCCAAACTTGTGATCTTGAGTCAGTAATTCTCCTGGTGCCACAGAATGCCTCACTTTATTTGGCATCTGTTTTCTTTGAAAGCATGTTAGGAAGATTGTTGATAAATTGGTATCTGTATATTAAATGTTTTATGAATTACAAATTTTCTGTGTTCTTTAACGTTCACTTTCTTTGACAAAGTGGTGATAATGAATGCACAGAGCAGTTAACCTATTAATAAATGTGTTTCAGTTTAAGACATGAGCATCTAAAAAAGCAGTGTGTTTACATCTGTTTATGATTAACATCAGAAACCGTTTTTGAACTAATTATACCTGGTGTTAGACATAGTATTATGCACAGGGAATTAGATGACAAGACTCTTGCCCCAGTGTATGCAATTTGAAGATAAGCCAAAGTAAATTAACAGCAGTTGGGTATAAAGACAGTTGAATGAAAAATTAGACTAGTAAGTTGTCTATAAATCAAGAGTAAATATACTTTAAGAATTCAGGCAAACATACATAATTTATTCATTAAGCCATATTAAGGATATGAGCTATGACTCTTTAATGTCAGAATGTATTCATATGCATTTTCTTCTCATCTCAATAATATTTTATGGAATATAAAAATAATAATTTATGGAAAAGGGATTGGCAGAAATAAAATGGATCCTAGCATTTGTAGGAAGAATAAACTACACACCTGTGTGAGAGCTGTCTGAATGAGCATCAGCACACAGGACTTGTTTCCTAGCAGTCTTCTTTCTCATCCCAAATAGGATAAAATAGAAATCACAGAATTAAAGTGGTTGTCAGTAGGGCTGTTATGTGCGTATGTTTTAAATCTGGGTTCTTTGGTTATATTCTCAGCTCATTAATGCAAATAGGGTGTTGATAACTTTAACACTGTCTTAGAATAGATGATAACCATTTTCTTTGATCATATAAATAGCCCCAGAAATTGGCATGTGAGATAGTATGTTGGAATTATTAGTATGTTGAAATTCTGAATTACTTCTCTCAGATACTGGAGACTATATAATTCTTTGTATCAAAAAAAATTTTTTTTTCTAAGAAATTTGTGCATCAGAAATTTAAGAATTAGTTGTGCTTCAGCTCTGAATTCGTTAATATTGGGAGCATTTGTTACCTGGTATCATAATAATTCATTGAAACAATTCTAGTATGACATTTTTTCCATTTCACTGTTTACCTCTTTATTTAAATCACACATATACATACCATAGCCATCTAGAATTTGAGGTATGAATCGTTTTTATTGTTTTACATGATTTGAGTTCTTTTTTTGTTTTTTTTTTTTAAACATCTTCCTGCAGTACTTTATTTTTAAAATCTTTATTGAGGATGTATTCTTAGGAAATTGGATCTTTAGGATCGAGTCTTTTCGTCATTCCATTCTTAGTTTTACAAGCAATAATACAGAAATCTTAGCTTGCTTTCTACATTTAAGAAGCTGATTATTTTTTTTTAAAGTTGATTGTGAACATAAACATTTAAAAAATATTTAATGAGATTTTCTGCTAGCTTAGAATTATTTAACTTTAAATTTATTTTCTCTTGGTAAAATATAAATAATAGAAAACCTACACACATAGAAGCATACCTAACACCACAGCTTTTTTTTCCCCTTGCATAAAACAAATAAAAATAAACACATATCCACCCACTAGAGATTTCTTTGAAACTAAAGGTAACTAAAAACCAAAATCAGGGACATGAATGTGCACAATAAATGGTTATCAAACCATTAAACTAACATTCATAATGTTTACTATAGTCCAAATGACAGGTGTAACATAAGGCTTATTTAAGGAGAGAGGCTAACTAAAGAGTGACATTTGTTGTGACCTGAACCTTGGAATAAGGGAACTTCTTTACTCCTGTAGTCTTATTTAAAAAAAAAAAAGACATATTGTCTCCTAACCTCTGCATTCATTAATTTGTAGTACTTCCTAATACCTTTAATTTTTAGCTCATTTTGTTACTGCAAAATTATTCTTAAAAGTAGTAGAAGCTTTAACACACCAAACTTTTATTTCTAATCTTGCATGTATTATTATAGTGCATGCTGTATATGAGATAGAGCTTCCTTAAATTCTATTAACTTAGCAATTCCCATCTAGTCTGATTTCTGATTTCAATTAAGTATCTGAATTTTTTAGTTGCTGATAGTCCAACTCCACCTCCACCACCTCCACCAGACGACATCCCCTTGTTTGACGACTCACCACCTCCGCCACCTCCACCACCAGTGGATTATGAAGATGAGGAGGCCGCGGTAGTTCAGTATAATGACCCATACGCAGATGGGGATCCTGCTTGGGCCCCCAAGAATTATATTGAGAAAGGTAAGGCACAGTCATCGCTGAATTGCTGTAATGGGAAGGAACTAGCGATGATCATATTTTAGAGCTGTGAAGAACACCTAGCCCAGGATGTCTCTACCTTTTGAACACGCTTATTCAGCCAAGATGGTTTAGTTCCTAAACATTTCCCAATATTTTAACTTTGTTTAAACAGTAAATATTCTACATCTTACTGAGGAAGTCTTGAATGTTCTCTTCATATTTAGATTCTCATGCACCTTCAAACAGAGATACGCTGTGGTTATTATGAGAAGGATAAACATGAGCAGTCTTGAATTGTGTTTTGGTTTGGAAAAGCAAATTTAAGTAACTGTGAAAATGGGACAAGTTATATTTACATAACAGATTTGGAATGATATAATGGTTAATATAGGTCTTCCCTGTGGCTCAGACGGAAAGTGTCTGCCTGCAGTGCGGGAGACCTGGGTTCGATCCCTGGGTTGGGAAGATCCCCTGGAGAAGGAAATGACAACCCACTCCAGTACTCTTGCCTGGAAAATTCCATGGACTGAGGAGCCTGGTGGGCTACAGTCCATGGGGTCACAAAGAGTTGGACACGACTGAGTGACTTAACTTTCAGTGGTTAATATACTTGGTAATAGAGCAGGATTAAAGAAATCTCTTCACAAGTTGAAGGAAATAATGAGTCTTAAACCAGGAGTCACCAAATTTTTTGGAAAAGACCAAATAATACACTTTTTAAGAAACCAAGGTATATTGATATATTAGTTTTCAGGTGTACAACATAATTCTTTGATATTTGTATATATTGACAAAATGAAATATCTTAAACTTTGCTGGTCATTCAGGCTTGTCACAACTACTCAACCCCACTGTTGTAGCACAAAAGCAGTCGTTGAGAATCCCCTGGCGGTCCAGTGGTTAGGACTTCACGCTTCCACTGCTGAGGGCCCAGGTTCAATCCCTGTGGGGAACTGAGATCCCACAAGTCATGCAGTGCAACCAAAGTGGGAAGAGACAAAACAAAACAAGTAGTCATAGACAAGTGAGGAGGTCGCTGTGCCCCAGTAAAATTTATTGACAGAAAGGCTTTGGTCTGAATTTGGTCATGGGCCATTGTTTATGGACCCCTGGTCTTAATCAGAAAGTTGGTATCTATTAGGGTTATATTTTAAGCCTTTAATGTGTGTGTGTGTGAAGTCACTCAGTCGTGTCCAACGCTTTGCGACCCCGTGGACTGTAGCCTACCAGGCTCTCCGTCCATGGGATTCTCCAGGCAAGAATACTGGAGTGGGTTGCCATTTCCTCTCCAGGGGATCTTCCCGACCCAGGGATTGAACCCAGGTCTCCCACACTGCGGGCAGACGCTTTAACCTCTGAGCCACCAGGGAAGCCCAGTCACTTTTGTAAGTCACATGATTAAAACTAGGTTTAATAGGATTTCAACTGAATATGTTAATCCAACAGTATGACATGACTACTTGCAGAAGCCAGATTCAGTCATTTATATTAGACTAATAGTATGTTTAATTTTGAGGATGATATTCAGGAGGTTGAAATATTTAAGACAGTGTATCTATAATGAGTTAAAAGCATTGTTTCTAAGTTGAGGAAAAGAAGATTTCAGAGGGACTAGATAGCTATCTTCAAATTTTCATCATGTAGACAGATGTAGGGGTTTCCCTGGAGGCTCACATCCACCTGCAGTGCAGGGGACGCATATTTGATCCCTGGGTCTGGAGGAGGCATGGCAACCCACTCCAGTATTCTTGCTTGGGAAATCCCATGGACAGAGGAGCCTGGCAGGCTGCAAAGCGTCCATAGGGTCACATAGAGTCGGACACAACTGAAGTGACTTAGCACACATGCATTCATGACAGATGTAGATAAGAATATTAGATTTCTAGTCCCACAGAACCCTACAGTGAGTATATAGAGAAGGGAGAGTTCAGAACTTTATGTGGACTAGGTTACTACAGACTAGGATGGACACGCATTGTTAATGGTTAAATACTCAGCAGTGAGAATTGTTATATGAGAATATATGCATTGGGGAAGGGAAGGTGAGGGGCAACTAAGTTTCATTTACAGAGGGGATTTGGCAGATAGAAACAATTAGTTGGGTGCAGTGTTTTTATCAGCTCTTAGTATAAGTGGAACTAAGAACATGAGGAAATACTATTTTAATTTTGCTGAATGACCTTGAGGATATCAGGCATTGTCATGATCAGTTTAAAACTCATCTATACCACTAAAAATGTGACGGAATACAAAAGAAAATGTTTCTTTCTAGCAGTCACTTGGTTTTCTTGGGTGTTTATTTAGCCAAAATTACCAGGATAATTAATGTTATTTATTCTGTATATTTTGGTGGTTTGAAACTGGGCATGTTTAAGTGAGCTTGTGATTACCACACTGTGATTTCACTAAAGGATTAAAATGGAGGAAAATGTACTTGTTGAGTTTACTTCATATACTGTTTTGTAAAGGGGAAAAAAAGATTGCCTGTTTTACTTTATCAAATGATGCTGTGGATCAGTACTTCGGGTCTCTTCCTTATTGTAATTTATTGATTCAGAATAATTATGGAGCATAGCCACCTTTCTTAAGGAAAAAATGAGTTCCAGAATATCTTAAATGTCTTAAAAATCCTCTTTTAAGAAAAGATTACATGAGGTAATGAAAAAACTTTTGTATGACATACTCTTTCACATATACTGGAAAATTGCATATTCCAGAATGATCATGTTATAAAGCCAGAAGGAAGGAATACTTAAAACAATAAACCAGTGGTTTGGAAAGCTAGTGATTTTTTGATGCCTTTCCTTTCCACAACACCGTTTGGAAAGGAAATGGGTATTTTGTACTCAGCATAACAACAGATAACACAATAAATAGCAAAAATGTTCTCTTAAGTCTTATGTGAGTCTTATCTATTCTTTACTTACCTGTTTCTCCTTTAAAAATAAAGAAAAATTTCTGCTGACTTCTAAGGTATATAAATATATATATATATATTTAAATCTAGGTATAGCCCCATAAATTATATGAACACATGAGTATTTTTCTGGGATGAGTAGGATGAAATTTACTTCACAATATATGTATATTTTTAAATTAGATAGCTCGGGTTGTTACCTGGTTTACTGATTGGCTCTGCAGGTTTACTCAATAGTTACTTTGATAAATGGTGCTTTGCGTATGGTTGGCACTTAGTAGATATTAGAACAAATGAATTGAAACATGTAATAAAACCTAAAATCCAGAGACCTTTCCTAAATAGATTGGTAGAAACTCTTGACTTCTCGAGTTATTTGTTGGTTTGGCCTGAAGATCAAGCTAGTGGTTTAGGCACACAGTTGGCTACTTGACCTACCTGGATGTAGAGATTTAAGAAGTAAGAGTATTCATAAAAAGGTTGGGTTTGCTATACTATTCGTTGGCATTACATTTAAAAATTCAATTAAACGTTGGCTCTCATGCACTCACATGATCTTCCAATTCTTCCCCACAGTTGTGGCAATATACGATTATACAAAAGACAAGGATGATGAGCTGTCATTTATGGAGGGTGCAATCATCTATGTAATCAAGAAAAACGACGATGGCTGGTATGAAGGAGTCTGCAATCGAGTGACTGGTCTGTTCCCAGGAAACTATGTGGAGTCAATCATGCACTATACTGATTAAATTTTTGCTTTTAAAGTAGGTTCTTATTATCACTCAGTCATACTGTGGGACTATTATGGTTAACAGAATTGTCTTAAAATGTTTTAAAATGTGCCCATATTTTCAGAACATGCTGTTTTATTGGTATAATTGAATGTCTACCTGTAAGCATAAATCTCCGAGGCAGTTTGCGGATCACTGAACAGCATTCTACACGAGGCTGCCTGTCACGGATTGTGCTTACATACTTCCTTATGCATTGTTAACCTGATGACCAGCCTAAACGTTCTAGGGGTGTGGGATCTACTTAACAAACCGTGACTCAGATCGTGCCATCATGTGTCAGTGCAGCATGGTCACTAACGCTCTGTCAGACTAATACAAAAAAATCAGAACACTTAAATGCTGGTGCTGGTCATACTTTTTGTTTAGATGTGCTCATTCTTGAAATATACTGTTTGTTTAAAGCATGCATACAAATTTATGTATTGAAATATACTTTTAAAAAATCCAAGATGCTTCCAATTTGTGTAATACTTACTTGGAGTACTCGTACTTAGGTCTCTTGAAATGAACTGAGTCTCTAAGTTCTCCATGTGAAACAAAAACAAAGGGTTACCTGTAATGTTGTAATTTGTACCTAAGTTTTTTAATCAGTGAATTTGCATTATAAATTTTTTCCATTCATAAATACATAAGTGAACCAAAGGTTTTTGTCCTTTCCTTCAGTGGTTTGCTTTAAAAATAATGATAAATAAAAGATACCAATTTATTGCAGAATTATGGTTCTATTTTCTCAATATATTAACTTGGAAAAAAATTTAGCCTTATCTCAATCTATCCCAATAGCAGTGGCTGATTTTTGCAGAATTTAAAATCAGAGATGGTTATTTACAAGTCAGTCTACTGAATTCCTTTTCTAAAGTAACTTTTTCAAAGCTAAGATAATGTGTCAAAGTGCACATGCTGTAGGTGAGATTCTTAAGGACTGCTCCAAGTCCTCTGGTTTTCCAGTGGACTGTCATATACTGATTCACTGATAGGAAATGCTAATTATCTTTTACATTTTTTTTTTCAGTAGAAGTAAATGCAGTGGATTTTTGAATAGGCACTGTTTAACCCATTTCCTGGCACTTGCAACATAAAAAGATTTTAAATATAAAGTAAATGGGGGGAAAAGATGTGCCATGTATTAATCACTGAACAGGGATATACCTGACCAACAGAGTTGTACTGTCTCTGACATGATTGAAATGCAACGTGTGCACTTTGCGTGTCTCCCCTTGAGGGAGGGTTCGAGGGGTTCTTTCTCGTCGTGTATAATCTCTGTTGCCTAGGCCATTTAAGTAGAGCACTCAGTTGTGGGTTTCTGTGTTTCAATGATTTGTTTGGATTTCAAGTTAGTTATGTACTACTGGGCGTTTCAGACTTACAACAGTGTAGTAAATGGTAAGACTAGTGCAAGATGTTTATTTCTGAAAATTAAAGGCCATTATTGCTACCAAATCAATGTGACTGTTGCATACGCATTTTGCCTTTGTTAATCTTAAACATGATTTCAGTATCACTGGTGATCAGCTACCTTCTTCATTTTTTCAAGTGGACTGTTCTCTTAATTTTGTATATAACCTGTTGTCTAAATTTTATGTACAGTCTTTTATAATAAACCATTCTCCTATATGAAATTTTGGATACTGTTAAAATCTAACTAATGTGGACTGAAATGTAGACTTCAGTTTTATGATCTTTACGCCTATGGTGAAACAAGATAAACCATATGAATTTTAACATTGATTATTTATTTGTGTAATGGCTTTACATGTGGCTACTATAACTGTGTAAACAATACCACATATAACCATCAAGATACCTCGATTAGAGTTTACAGGAAGAATGACAGATTCAGATGGTTTAAATACATTTAAAAAGTTTTCTGAAAAACTTCGCCAATAAAAAAAAAAGTCCCATTAATAAGGAAATGATCTTTTTAAATGATTTGTTTGGTTATCTGCACATGAAGCAAAGTATATTCCACAGAATTCTTGAGGCACAATCTGGTAAAATAGCTGCCAGAAATACCGGAAAGAGGTGTCATTTGTCTCTTGTGAGCACAATCTCTGAAAGCTGTATGAGGGCCTCTCTTTCTGGGGAAGGTCGAAGTTTACTGATCTCTCTCACCGCTTCGTGGCAGTACCGCTGGGCGAGGTAGGTTGTCTGCTGCACACCGTCACTCTACCGGACGTGTAACAAAATACAACAGAACAGATGCATGTCAGCCATTGGGATCAGCTCTTTAAATTCCTGCTACAATGAGTTAAAACATACTCTTGAGATCTGATTAACAGCTGGATGTTGTTTCTAATGTTTTCTGTCTGTCTCCTCCTTTCTCAGACTGAAGCACATTTTTATTCTATTACCATGCCAAGCAGTAAACTCATTAATACCAAGTAGCCATCTATTTTCCCCCTATTTTTCATTTAAGTATTAGCTTTTAAGTTACACATACATTAAAATTTATATAGTAAAATTCTAAGTACAACTTAACGTAATACATTCATAATACAGAAGAGCTTACGATGAAAATCAACAGTTCCTTCTTCCAAAGGCACCAGTTTTGTCTGTTGGTTTTAATTATCTATGCCTTTCTGTTAAGACAGGGATTTAAGCCCAGCCATACTGTCTCCCAGCTTGACCACTGACTCTTTGTGTTCAGTTCTTCTATTGATCACTGTTGTCATCATGCAGCATCAACTTCTGACTTCATCTCATCTGAGATGAAGAAACCACTGCTCCTTCTCTTTCCTCATCTTTACACTATAGAGATTTGCATTCCATTTTGTAACCATGTTTTTATGTTGGTTCTTTCAAAAAGCTAAACACTAATAAAATAATTATGTTTACTATTTCCATTATGTCAAAATGTTAATGGCAGAATCAAGACATATAGTTGATTTTATTTTATTCTGCATGGTTCCCTCTGTCATTCAGAACAAGATATCTGTAAGTATCATGACTGAAAGGACTCTGATTTTCTTTACCAAGTGACTCAAAATATTACACATTTTAAGTTCTCAAGAAGTAACTTTAAAAGATTCCATAAATCCCTGGCAACTTATCTAAACTATCCAAATATAGCAAATTTCAAGTACCTGTTGTTTGGAATTATTTACATCATTGCTCCCTTATACCAATCTAGAAGACGGCAAGCCAAATGTATGTAATCAGATGCACGCTGCTTAAAAAAAAAAATTCTATCTTATTTCTTACTGGGTAACACTCCACAATTAACTTACTCCAAAAAAAAAAAAAAATTACACATTTTAGACACAAAAATTCTCAACAAGATACTACCAAACTGAATCTGACAACACATTAACAGGCTTATACACCATGACCAAATGAGATTTATCCCAGGGATGCAAGGATTCTTCAGTATATGCAGTTCAATCAGTGGGACACCACATTAACAAATTGAAGAGTGAAAACCATATGATCATATCTAACAGATGCAGGAAAAGCTTTTCACAAAACTGATAGACAAAAACTGCAGAAAGTGGGCATGGAGGGGACCTACCTCAACACAAAGGCCACCTATGATAAACCACCAGGAGACAACATTCTCCTTGGTGAAAAAGCATTTCTGCCAAGATCAGGAACAAGTCAAGGATGTCCACTCTCACTGCTGTTACTCAACAGTGATTGCCTCACCAGGGCAATCAGAAAAAAATAGGAATTCAAATTAGAAAAGTTAAACTGTCATTGTCCGTAGATGATATACTATACATCAGTCAGTTCAGTTCATTCACCCAGTCTTGTCTAACTCCCTGTAGCCCCAAGGACTGCAGCAGGCTTCCCTGTCCATCACCAACTCTCGGAGCTTACTCAAACTCACGTCCATTGAGTTGGTGATCCCACCCAACCATCTCATCCTCTGTTGTCCCCTTCTCCTCCTGCCTTCATTCTTTTCCAGCATCAGGATCTTTTCAAATGAGTGAGTTCTTCACATCAGGTGGCCAAAGTATTGGGAGTTTCAGCTTCAGCATCAGTCCTTCCAGTGAATATTCAGGACTGATTTCCTGTAGGATGGACTGCTTGGATCTCCTTGTTGTTAAAGGGACTCTCAAGAGGCTTCTCCAACACTAGCGCTCAGTTTTCTTTACAGTCCAACTCTCACATTCATACCTGACTACTGGAAAAACCATAGCTTTGCCTAGACCTTTGTTGGTAAAGTAATGTCTCTGCTTTTTAATATGTTGTCTAGGTTGGTCATAATTTTTCTTCCAAGGGGCAAGCATCTTTTAATTTCATGGCTGTAGCCACCATCTGCAGTGATTCTGGAGCCCAAAAAATAAAGTCTGTCACTGTTTCCATTGTTTCCCCATCTATTTGCCATGAAGTGATGGGACCAGATGCCAGGATCTTAGTTTTCTGAATGTTGAGCTTTAAACCAACTTTTTCACTCTTATTTCATGAAGGGGCTCTTTAGTTCTTCACGTTGTGCCATAAGGGTGCTGTCATCTGCATATCTGAGGTTATTGATACTTCTCCCAGCAATCTTGATTCCAGCTTGTGCTTCCTTCAGCCCAGCGTTTCTCATGATGTACTCTGCATATAAGTTAAATAAGCAGGGTGACAATATACAGCCTTGACGTACTCCTTTCCCAATTTGGAACCAGTCTGTTGTTCCATGTCCGGTTCTAACTGTTGCTTCTTGACCTGCATACAGACTTCTCAGGAGGCAGATCAGGTGGTCTGGTATTCCAATCTCCAAGAATTTTCCACCGTTTGTTGTGATCCACACAGTCAAAGGCTTTGGCATAGTCAATAGAGCAGAAGTAGATGTTTTTCTGGAACTCTCTTGCTTTTTCGATGATACTATACATAGAAAATCCTAAATATGCCACCAGAAAATTGCTAGAGCTAATCAATGAAGTGTAGTAAAGTTGTACGATACAAAATACACAGAAATCTCTTGCATTCCTATACACTAACAATGAAAGATCAGAAAGAGAAATTAAGGAAACAGTCCCATTTACCACTGGAACAAAAGGGATAAAATGCCTAGGAATAAACCTACATAAGAAGGCAAAAGAACTGTATGCAGAAAACGAAGATACTCACGAAAGGCAACATGAACAGAGGGAGAGACATACCATGTTCTCGAAAGAATATTGTCAAAAGGACAAGGCAAGCTACAGATTCAGTGCAATCCCTAGCAAATTACCAACAATGGTGTTTTTCATAAAATTGGAACGAAAAAGTTTACAATTTGTATGGAAACACAAAAAACCCTGAATAACCAAAACTATCTTAAGGAAAATGACGCTGGAGGAATCAGGCTCCCTGACTTCAGATTGTACCTGCTCCAAAGCTATGGTAATCAAGACAGTACGATACCAGCACAAAAGCAAATGCAGGTCAATGGTAAAGGATGGAAAGCCCATACACCTATGGTCACCTCATCTGACAGAAGAGATACGACTACACAGTGATTTTCAGTCTCCTCAGTAAACTGCTGGGAAAACCGGACATAATCATGTAAAACGACATCAGGAGGGACACTCCCTACCACCACACACAAAAGTAAACTCAGGATGGATTAAAGACCTGAACACAGGCCAGACACAGTAAAACTCGTGGGGGACAACATAGAACACTCCCTGACCAAACTTGGTCTTGTGTCTACAATTTGTTACTTTAACGTGGTTACCAAAGAACTCTTCTACAGCGCCACACCTACTGTTGCTGCTCTTCCTTTTGAAATCGTCTCACCTGTAATACATACTGTCGCGCTCTGTCCACGTCGCCTGGTGAGCTGAACCGTCTCATTATCATAGCATTCATTTCTGGGAACTAACCAGAAAGAAAACCTATTTAGAGCTCTTGGGAGAAATCAAATGTCAAAGCATCAGTTTGTAAGAACAGATTAAAACAAAGGTGATCAAAGGTTTAAATAATGGGGGTGGGGGAGCAGCGAGCTGTAGCAATTACAGCAGCAGAGTGAAGAGGACACCTCCTTCCAGGCACCTGAGACGCACCCCGACCTGTGCTCACTGCCGCGTGTTCTGTCCTGGGTCCAACGCTGAGTGAGGGGAGGAGCCGGCGTGCACCCCGACACCTGCTGGCTTCCCTCGGGGTCTCAAGCTCTCGGCTGCCCAAGTCACTGGGGGCCCACTGGGCCTCTCCCCTGAGGTTTCTGACTCGGCAGCCGTGGGGCCTGAGGGTGCCCTACTGCATTCCCAGGGGATGCCGGTCCTGCCGCTCTCTGCCTACAAACTACGAAAATAAAATCACTGGCCTAAGACGAGGCTGAGCCTTCTGCTTTTAGTCCTAAGCTGCATCTTACTTGAGAGGGACGCCAAGGTCTCTGAGCAGAGGGAATGCTGGGAAAAGCTCAGCTCGTGGATGGGACCAGGGCAGCACTGCTAGACGCCCGCCGGCCCTGCAGTCAGCTGGGGAGGCTTCCGGTGCAGCTGCCTGGATCTGCTCCCTAAGGTTCTGACTCAGCTGGCTTGGGGTTTGGCCCCAGGGTCATATTTTTAAAACTCTTCGGGCATTTCTAATATGCAGCCAAGGCTGAGAACCATGGAGTTAGAGGAGACTGAGATAGAAGCGGCCATCAGGTTACTGGAGTGAAATTTTTTTCCTTTTTTACTGGAGTGAATTCTAAACAGCAGTTTAAGCCGACAGCAGTTAAGAGGAAAACAGAAAACAGGTCCAAGGTGCAATGAAGAGAAAATCTGTCCTGTAGTACTTAGCAACCAGGTAGGGGAACTACCACCATGAACAGAACCTGGAAGCCAAGACACCGAATCATTTCCTCCTGGAGACTCGAGCTCAAGGCCTGCTGCTGCCACAGCCGAGCTCCTCCGCCTCCTCGTCTATGTTAGGAAGGAGCCGAGCTACATTCAGAAATCTGTTCTAACAGCTTAGTCTGTGAAATGAGGTTACAAGGTGTGTGTTCGGCCAGGCAGTGCTCAGGGCAGTGGCCAGTCCTCCCCTGGCAGGGCGCCTGGGGGATGAAGTCAGCTTTGTCCTGGAACCACCATGGTGTTAGTAATCCTGGAAGGGAAAATAGGTCACACAGAAAAATCTCAACTAGATGGCAGCAAGTGACAAATGAAGATTGTTCCTTTCAGAACAAAGTACATGTCCAGACAAAGGAGAGGCTGCTGATAACCTGCTTATGAAATGTAAAGAGCAGCAACTAGTTAGTTCTTAAATGAAAACCAGTGATTAGGTTCAGGTACTGGTCTTTTAAGAACAAAAAATTAAAGTTTCATAGGAAAGCTCCCATCAGTCAATTTTAGTGGTAAGAGTCAAACCAAGTAGGCATGGGTCTTGGTTACTTAACACCACATTTCACAACTGGATTTCTAGAAGGCTGTGTATCCTCAAAGCTAATGTGATACTGGTCCAGCAACTGGTAAAACTACCTTTTTTAGGGGAGATGAGCATTTTCCTGCAGTGCCAACAACTGGAGTAAAATGTACTGATTGGGTGGTTTCTCTTGATTCCTTTTACTATAAAAAGCACTGAGAAAGCAAAATTTGGGGGAAATTTTTTTCCATTGAGTGTTGACTACATCTTTCCTTTGAAGCATGAAGTATGTGCAGTTTTAGTATGCAAATATCAAACTCTTCCCCTAGGCGTTCCTGTTCCAGAAACTTGCGAGAAGAAATAAGAAATGCACCAGGTGGGAGGAGGGCTAGCCTGCCTGCAGACATACCGAGAAGCAGCAAAGTTCTTGTTGCCTGGGCTCTGATTTTAAGAGGGAAGTCACCTGTGGCTGAAATCAGCGTCTGACTGTGAAGTCTGTCCATAAACTAATGACAGGGGTGGTCGGTAAACTGTGGTGAGCTTGTTATCAAGGAAAACTTGGGGGTGACTCTAAGGCGGCGACACTCACAATAGCAGAAGCCCGTGCAGCTGGTGCGGGGCTGGTGGTGGCAGTTGGAAGCATGACTACAGGCTGACATTTAGGTCTGCTGACTGATCACAGAAGGAAGAGATGCAGAAGAAGGAAGAAGAGAGCTTTTCAAGGGTATTTGGGAACAAATATCTCACCAAAAAAGAAAACAACCTCCATTTGATTTCTGAAGATCTTGAAATCCAACCTCTGTTCTTTAAAGGTTTATTTGAATGTTAAGGTTTGTGTTTTCTATAGACAGTATAGTAGATGTACACATACACATGGGAGCATGCTGTCATCTCTGGGACTTCCCCAGAAATGTGGAAGATTTCCTTAAATCCCCAGTTGACTGAAAAACCCCTTCAGAGAGATTTCAAAAATAGTTCCAAACAGAAGGGGTTTCTATCAACAAACTCTAATTTTAAGACAAGTCAGCATGCTAAATGAAAGGAAAAGTGGTCTCCCAAGGTTGCTTGTCTTGGTGCAATGAAACTCAATGTTCTTAAGTGGAAAAATTCAAAGACTAATTAACCTGCAAACAAAACACACCTACCTATGGAAAAAGATGACAGGCATCTTGGAATTACTCCACTAAATGGGCAAACAAGGGCCGACACAGACTCCCGAGTGTCTTCAAAGCCTTTCCGGCATGGGAGAAGCCAGTCCCCTGCTCTGGGTGGCCTCTGGGGGCTCAGACAGGCCCTTTGGACACCAGCACTGATCCCCACAGGCAGCAGCAGTAATTCTGAGCGTGTGGGGACACGACACTGGTCTAAGGGGATGCAAAGCGTTTAACTGCCTGCTGTACCATTGACCCGAGGCTTCATTCTGGCCAAGTTTGAGCATCACTTTCTTATCTGTAGAAGGGACATACTACCTACCCAGGGAAGAGCTGTGAGATCAGAGGTAATCCTTTACAAGCTCTAAAAGCAATGCATTTTCCTTCAGTGAGATTCTGCACAGTCTCATGTTATTTTATGGAACTTATTTTAACCCAAATCAATTTTAGCACGACAAATCTTGACAAATTTCTGACCAGAAATCTTAATTTTTGACAGTGTGAACTAGGAGAGTCTAGACGTGATGTTTCATTTGAAAAGAAATGAAATGTTTGACTAACTGTAGGCCCATGCACCACAAGACAGAACAATCAGTCTGCTTGGGAAACAAGTCCTGTCTGGAGCGTCACCCTGCTCGGCCTCACTCCAAAGGCTGTGCCTTTTAACTCCTTTTCCGGGCAGGTGGGAGAAGCCTGTCCAGTGAGGTAGAGTGCGCCTAGTGAAGCTGGGCTGTCCCAGTTATACAGGACTGTGGTTTTGCACACTGCATGCTTTTGTTTGTTCCTTTTCCTTTTTTTTTTTTTTAAACCATCACTTCTTAATCTCTTGTAGATAACTGACAAGTCAATCTGTGGGAGTGGTCCACTGCCCCCCGACTTCCCCCCCTCCATATCTGCAGGCAGAATCAGTGACACTCCTTTGAGTAGAGGAAAGTAAACGTGTTTCTTCTGAAATACATTCATGGTCAAACACAATCAAAAGAGAACATTCTCCATCCTAAGGCTGAAGCGGGACCCCGCTGTTACCTGAGTCCCAGGGGCTCAGGACAGTTACGTAGACCTGGGGAGACTTCTGACAGCACAGCCCCCCGAGGCTTTCGGCAGACTGCAGGCCTCTTCAGGGAGAGGCGCGTTCCCCAGGCATCCTGATAACCCGGGGGCCGGGGGCAGCAGCTCAGAGCGCCAGGCCCAGCTTGGGGCATCTCACCCACGTTTCCTCACCAGGGCCTGGGAAGGAGACTCATGTCTGCAGCAAGTGCCTCCTCTTTCTAATCTCAGAGGCCTTACAGGGACGTCGCTCATGAATCCTCTGCTTTTTTGTGAGCTCATGGTTAAAAAAAAAAAAAAAAAAAGTCCCTCACTCACGCTTGAATGCACACAAGGTGATCTGACAGATTTTTGTCAGAACGTGTCACTTTGAGTTCTGGCTGCGCAAGTCAGAAGAAAGGAGCCACTCCTAGCAGACCTCACACTTCTCACCTCTGCCTCAACATCCCGAGAGGCTGCCCAGAGCCTGTCCCCATCACCTCTGTCCCCAGCCTTTCTCCTCCGTCCCCTGCTGCCCTCAGGCATCCGCCTTCTCTGAGTATCCGCCCCCCCACCCCCATTTATGGCTAAAAGATAACTTCTGTTTTCTTGTACCAGAAACAGTGAAAGCATGGTCACTGGTTTTTGGAATATCAAAATGGATCCAATTTTTTAAAATTTGACCATAAAAAAACGAAATCACTGAGGTCTATGGAAAACATGATTTATCTTTGTAAATTCTGAGAGAAATAGAGGCAAAATCTTCAGCAGACTATAAGTTACAGCACTTTGGACCAAAGAGCTAATTCTAAATTTCACAGCCTGGTGATGAACATTTAGCTTTGCTAAATAATGAATTAAATACGAAGATGAAAATCTATTAGAAAGAAGTCCAAATACCAGCTAATGTCCTACTTCTTTCAAAGAGCATTTGGCAAACCAGAAGCAGCGTGGCTGGGAGCCAGAGCAGGATCTGGAAGGGTCCGCCGTGCGAGTCACCGAGGCCTCTCTGAAGCTTCCGCAGTTTTTCATCCATATTAAGGGGAAGATGATGATAGCTTTACTTCCTTCCTTAATTAACAGCCCCTCAATCTGGACAAGAAGAAACTATGTGGGCCCAGTGCATCCCTCTGTTCTTGACATTTTTGAAGCAATGGCAGAGGCTCGCTGAGAGCAGCCAACAGTCCTGTTAAATTTCTAGAACTGGAGAGTTACTCCTGCCGGAGGCCTTCCTGTGCCTATTTAAGGGGCTCTGATGCACAAAGTCTCCCTACAATGGAGATGTGGAAATTACCCACCCTGTCAGTGCCCAAGACACAGAAATGATCGCAGTGCTTCCTTAAATGCACACGGCACTTAATGCAGACAGTATCTCCAAGAATATCATCTCAGGTAATACTTACAGCGGCCCTGGAAGGAAGCTTATAAGCTTCTCCATGTTACAGACACGGAAACAGACTTCAGCGGCAAAAATGACTGGCGTGGATGCTTCAGTCCTGGACTTGGGATCACATCTAGAACTCTGGTCTGTTAGAAACGCTCCCATCTCATCTAACCTTCCCGTGAGCTGTGCCCGGCAGGTACCGGTCCCACAGGGCCTCCCAGAAGTGTGTCCCAGGGAAGGGCATAAAACCTACCTGCTGACAAGCAAATAAGACGGGGCCAGTGGCTAACCCGAGCTTCAGGTCGGCTGAGGTCGGTTTGCCCATCTGGTCAGAACACGAGGTGAAGTCCAGGACATCGTCTACCAGCTGAAGAGGGAGAAAGGGCTGTCTCAGCCCCGCCGCGCCAGTGTCCACCCCCGCCGCGCCAGTGTCCACCCCCGCCGCGCCAGTGTCCACCCCCGCCGCGCCAGTGTCCACCCCCGCCGCACCAGTGTCCACCCCCGCCCTGCCCGCTGGGCAGCATCCTTCCAGAGCAGCAGACCAACCTGAAAAGCGATGCCCACGTTCTTCCCGTACTGATAGGCAATCTCATGCACCACTGGGTCAGGGCATCCCAGGACAGAGACCTGAAATAGAGGACCCCGAGGTAAGCTGCTGGAGGGCAGAGGCAGGGTGGCGGGGACACCGGTCCCCACAGGGAGGGGATTCACACCTCCTCCTCCTCGGAAAAGGGCCGTGAGGCTGGTTGTGCCGCCAGGAGACTGCTCTCAGACCAGTCACAGACAGAGCACCTGTGTGTCTGACCTGTGGAATACAGGACTTCGGTCTCAGACTATTTTCTTAAATTTCAAGAAAACTCGCCTTTCCCGCCTCCTTTCACTAGGCAGGCCATCTTTCCCACCACTTAGGGAAAAATGAGATAGGACTAGACCAGTTCTGCAATGCGGGAGACCTGGGTTCAATCCCTGGGTTGGGAAGATCCCCTGGAGAAGGGAAAGGCTACCCGCTCCAGTATTCTGGCCTGGAGAATTCCATGGACAGTCCATGGGGTTGCAAAGAGTCAGACACGACTGAGCAACTTCCAAAAGAAAAACAAAAAAAGACCAGTTCTGCTTGTCAGCCTTTCTGACGTGCAAACCAAACAGACTACAGTATCTGAAATGCTGTCTTCCAGCGCCTGGCAAACCTGCCCAACTGTTGGCATTATTTTTATTTCTCTACTGACTTACCCTTATTTTAGGGGTAGAGATCCGATCTGACCTAATCATATACAGGATGTGGCCATCGTTCATTTCCCCATTTGTAGTCCTTATAATCATTTTTGGTGATTTCACTTGATTCTGAAAAGCTGTTTTTTCTTGGTGTCTGTAACAGCCTCAAGCCTCATGGTTCAGACACAGGTATGGTTCTTCCGTTACCTAAGGACAGTCCCTGATCCTACTGTTTCCATGTTTCTCTCACAAGAAGTCATGTAACTGTATAAAAGGTTTTTCCCCTGTTCAGTGAGGGAACAGGACTTCTAAGTCTTCTGTAAAACTTGAAAAACCCAGCTGGCACTGGCCACTCCACACTTTTCCCACCACTCTGCTAAGCATGCAAAGCAGGCCCGGCCACACTTCAGAGACGGGGGTGGGCTGGGGTCGGGGAGAACACTCCTCTAGGGGAGAGAGGGCGTGGACTGGCCCCGAGAGCCAGACAGAGCTCTTTTGGGCCTCCTGTCTGACCTCAGCCCTCACCTTTGTCGGCCACAGGGGACGCGGGGGACCCTGCTGGGCACAGGCAGGTGGGCGCCACAGTGAGCCCGGGGGGCTGGCTTCTGCCCCTCAGCTACCACGTGACCTTCGTGATCCTGTCTGTCTGCGCGTCAGTTTCCTCGTCTGTAAACCCAAGGCTCACAAGCACCTACAGCAGAGGCTGGAAGGAGGACACGTGATGCTACCCATGCCCTCCGCACCGTGCGGGCGTCTAGCTGTGACCCCGAGAGTCTGCCGAGACTATGACCAGCCCGCCTCCACTTCTGTGCCAACAGGAGCCTGGGGAGTGTCCCGGCCTGCTGCTGCAGCCAGAACATATAACCTGCTCAGCCCTGAGCAGGTTTCCAGGGACTGAGTGAAGCCTGTGCCCGGGTCATGTTTGGTTACATGTTCACGATAAAAATGCACACGTGGTAAAAAGCCAGGCGGCCGCTTACTTGAGTGAATGATAAACTCAACTGCTCTCAACAGCAAAGACCTGACCACCGGCAGGCACTGGCCCACGGCGGGCTGCAGGGAGGGATCCGGGAGGCCCCCGGGGGAGACGGTGCAGAGATTCTGAAAGAAGTCAAGAGATGCATCAACCTGGCTGAGAGAATGAGTGCGCAGCCAGGCTCGGGCAGCCTGGGACATGCTGAGCCCAGAAAACAAAGACATCCCCTTTCTAGACAGAAATAACTCGTAAAGCAGTTCTGTAGAGGGTGATGCTATTTCCTATGCACAAAGCAGCACAGAAATACAGACTTCCTTCCTGAGAAGTCGAAGATCTTTAAAAACGCCATTCTATTTCTAAACTCAATGGGTTAAAATGTATGGAGTACATACAATAAGCACTGTGCATTACCTTAGATCTCACGACAGCCTATAAATGCCTCTTCTGTGGTTGACGAGGGTAAAGCTAACAACCACTGAGCACTCTGTGTGCTGGGCGCTATCCTGAGGTTTCTCACGTTGCCAGTCACTGAGGAGGTCGGCGCTGAGACACAGCGGGGACCAGGCATCGCAGGATGAGGAGATGGCGAAATCAGGACCGAACCTGGGCTGTCTGCCCCAGAGACTGGTCCCTATCACGTGGATCCGCTGCCTTTAATGGGCCTCAAAGTCAAGGCTCAGAGAGGCCAGTCACAGTGCTCAGGAAGCAGAAAGCCCCGAGTCCACCTCGCTGCCCTCCCAAAGCCAGGCAGTAAAGGGACGTTCCTGCTCAGATTTCCCCACTACAACGTGAAGAGCACCCCTCCCCATGGCATAGTCCTGCTCCCCCTGCCCCGCGAGGACTGTCTGAACCAGGCAAGTCAGAAGCGCCACAACGCAGAACAGAAAGAAACGAGGCACTCTGACATGCATGCTTCTCGTCCTCAGCCTCAGAGACGCCCCCAATCTGATTCCTGGAGGAGGGTGGAGGGGAGAGAGGGTAGGAGAAAGCAGAGCTTAGCTAACTGTTCTGTTTGAAGCAGGTTTGCAGCCAGGCCATGGGGCGCACGAGTCGAGGGTGGGGGTAAGACCCACACCTCTCAGGAGACTCATCTACGCCTTTCCTCAAAACCATCAGAAAGATCACATTGACAGGAGCACAGCCCTTGACATCTATCGAGCATCTCTGTCTTTAAAGGGTGTGTTTACATCACTATGAGAGTTAATACACGTACTGTGGTCTTATTTATTAAAAATAATGGAGATTATTGAAAAAAATTTAAAAAAATAAAAATAATGGAGATTATTGGAGCTCCACCATTATATTAAAAAAATACCAAAACAGGTGATCGTCAGAAACCAATGGAAAACACTGGGAGAAAACTTTTTCAACATAAAATCACAGATAAAGAGTTAATATTCTTCATATATAAAGAACTCTTTAAAACTGAGAAGGGAAAAAAGACCAACCACCTGTCAAGAAAATGGGAAAAAGACATGAATATACAATTCACAAAAATTAGAGAAGTGAAAACAGACCTTCAGCATCCTAAAAGGAGTTCTACTTCACTGAGAAAAGAGAAATGTAAGTTAGAACTCCATTGTAACACCATGTCTCATCTATCAGGCTGTCAAACACTTGAGTCTAAGGCTTCATTTGGTTAGCGTGGCTGTGGGAAAACAGGCAACCATGTTGACCATGGGGCTCGGGCAGACAGCCCCTGGGGAGGAGCACACAGCCGTTCATTCCCAGCCGACAGCCCTGGTTTGCCCGCCCCACACCCCCACTTGGAGCTGGATCTGGGCCAACAGGTCCTGGGACAGGCCGGCCACAAAGGCAGCCCAGGTCCCAGGCTGTGGCCCAAGCACCGCAGCCCAGCGCCACGTCTGCGCCACACACACACCCCCCCCCGTGTGCATGGCAGCAGTCGTACAAAGCCCAGACACGGAAGCAACCCAAGTGCCCAGCAACAGACAACTGGTTTAAGAAGATGTGTATGTGTGTATTCACACACACACAATGGAATATTACTCAGTAACAAAAATGAATAAAATACTGCTACTTGCAGCAATATGGATAGAACTTGAGAATACTATACTAAGTGAAGTAAGTCAGAGAAAGACAAATATGATATCACTTATATGTGAAATCTAAAATATAATAAGAATTATTGAATACAAACCAGAGAGTCACAGCAAAAAAACTTATGTTTACCATAGGGTGCAGGGATAAATTAGGAATATGGGATTAACAGACAGAAACTACTACAAGTAAAACAGATAAACAACAAGGGTTTACTATATAGCACAGATAATTATATTCAATACCTTATAATAACCTATAGTGGAAATAATCTTATATCTATCTATATATCACTGAATCACTTTGCTATATGCCCAAAAATACAACTATATTTCAAATTAAAAAAAAAAAAAGATTCTTGACAACTAAATGCAACATGAGATCCTAGACTAGATCCTGGGCCAGAAAACAACGTTCCTATTTGTTCTAACAATATTATGAGAGCTATTAAAATTTGAATAAGGACTATGTGTAGATTAGATAAGAATACCATAATAAAAAAAAATAGGCGTTCTACAGCTATGACCCACAAACCAAGGTTCTGGGGCGGCCCTCCGTAGCTTTGACAATAAGGCACCAGGAAGACAGTCCACTGATTCCAGGCCACATGCAGCACTCGAGAGAACAGAAAATTCAGGGGGAAAAAACACGAGAAAATGAATGAATACATGAATCTGCAGGGTTATCATACCCAGTTGTGGGTTCAAATCTCTGCTCAGCTACTGTCTGATTGAAAAACACTGGATGGGCCACCAGATCCCTCTGGTCTCATTCCTGTGAGGTTTTCTGGGGAACAAGGCAGTGTTCACTGGTAAACTACACAATGTATTTTCGTGACTACGTACAGAAACAAACAGCCAATCACCTTTTAAGATTACTTCTATTTTAACATCAATCAGTGTCCCAAAACAATCCTGAACAGCCCTCTCTTAGATTTAATACCAGTCTTCATTAAACAGTCCTCAGGATAATGAACTGTAAGCTGAGAGGTTTCCTTCAAATTCCCATGACATCCTGAATTCCATCAGCTCTTCTCTAACAATTCTGATGTTTAAATTCTCACCCCTTCTTTTTGGTGTCTCTAATTTGCTTTGCATGTGTTCAGAGGCCACGTGTCTGCGTTTTAAATTCCAAAATCACATAAAAATAGCAGGTTTGAATATATAACACCTCTGGAACATCTCTCCCCATAGGCACTTATATATAGAAACTTTTATTCAGGGAGCTCACACTAGCATTCTGCTTTATTATTCTAACAGCTCTGGAGCTCAGGAATAAATCACAAGCAAAGGGGGCAGTTCAGGGCTGATGCCAGCCTGCCCCCTAGTGGACAGCCTGAGACATTTCATGTTTAATGAGGGTGGAGCCCTGTTAACATGCAGGTCCACTTGTGCTTCCTACCTGCGAGGGACGAGGTCCTCTTTATGAACGAATACACGCGCGACCCTGTCTTTGGCTTCCTAAGCAGAGGACAGCGAATGCAGCCTCTCCCCGATGACACGGCTCGCCGAGTGCATAAGCCCCCGTTCAGGCTCTGGGGCAGCAAGCTCTGCCGCCCTGTGGAATGTCCACTGTGGACAATGGCCCGCAGTGTTTCAGATCCAACTGCCCCACTAACGGCTGTGCTCCTCTCTGCAGCCTCAGGCCTGTGAAGATTTCGCTGTCACCTAACACACTAGCGAGGCTGGGTCTCCAGCTTCATGGAGACGTTGGCCATCAAGGATATGATGAGCAATGACATCAATGTTCTTAAGATTAATTAAGGTTGAAGGCCACCATTTTAAATCTTTGTTTTTTTTAATTTAGCATTCTCGGGCCTATTCTATTTTTATCTCTCTTTTTTTAGAAAAACCACACTCACAATTTCTGGGAAATTAAGAAAAAAAAATGCTCTTTCAATAAAAAGACAAAAATGGCTGAGATTGTGGCCATCATGTTCTACATAATTCACATTCCTTTGGGTTTCAATTGGGTCTTTTTAGGAAGAAATACTGTCCTCATTCTTTTTTGGCTCAATTATGACACATTTCTTGACACTTTTCCAAAAAGAGACATTACTGGCAAGGGGCTTTTTCACCTGAGAGGCCTGAGAAAAAGCTCTCTTCAACTGTAATTATGTTAAGAGTGGATCATGGCAGCAACTGACACTTGCCCCTTAGGAGTCTCCCTTTCTTGTTTTTTTAATCACAGGGACTCTTACTTGGCCCAGTTTTCATCCTGTGTATCTGCGAGGCTGAAAGACGGTCAGATGAATAATTCTAGGCAGGGAACTGTCTCTCATTCATGGGCTAGCCCCGAATGATTAAAGACAATATTGATTTTTTAAAAAGGAAACTATAAAAAAATAAAGAAAAAAAAATAAAAAAAAAATAAAAAAGGAAACTATGTGAAGAGTGGAGGGAAGGCCACAGAGAAAGCAAGAGGTACAGAAAAGTTCATGCTCAGCTTATACTCGGAAGTAGAAGGGCTTTTTCATATTCCACATAACTGGGAGGGATTTACTACTCATAGAAGAGGACTTAGAACACTGGTACAATCTATTAGTTGGATACTTCCACCCAGGTCAATATTTAAGAACACAGCATAGCACTTTCACACGTTTTACATGTAAATCATACAAAACTGTGTGGTAACCGTGAGGGAGACCATTTATGATTAGTTGTTCAAAATGTTGCACCCATTTGGAAATTAGATTGGGGAATATATTAGAAAGCTTGTTTTGATTTGACTCCTAGGAGGAAAGTTGATGCCTAAACAGCAAAAATGAAAATCATAGCAGAAGTTCTCTCTGCTGTCTGGGGATGCAATTCTTTTCTCAGTTACTCTTGGGATTTTGGTTACTATTTTAAGATTCTCCAGTGCAACTTTTTCTATGAGAATTAGCTCCCAAGAAAGAGCTAGGAGGCTTTTTTTTTTTTTTAACTTGAAAAGAAACAGAACGTACATACTGCTTTACAACTGTTGGCGATCAGACTTGCAGTCTTCTTGAAAGTCTTTTCAAGGTAGTGTGCAAATCTTTCATTTTCATTTTCTTTTGACCCGAGCTGAAGAAATTCACCTACAAAGAAGAAAAGGGGTCAGGTGAGGGTTTTGGAAATTTTTTTTGGCAGGGGCGGCGGGGGGGCGCGGTGTTGCTGGTAAAATACTAAGAATGAATAAAGAAGAAAAGTCGGAATTAACCTACCACGCACCAAATCTTCAATCACTTGGGTTAAAATAGATATAACAGTTGTATTTCCAATTCGTGCCAGAGCTATTGAGGCTGCAGAAAGAATTAAGTCGCCAGCAAGGACAGCCTAGAAAAGAAGAAAAACCTTTAGAGAAAAGTGTCTGAGCACTGGAGCCAAGAGTGAAGTTTCTCAGGAGAGAAGTCCGGGATGGGAGGAGGGAGGGTTCATCCTGGGTCTCTGTTTTTCCTCTTCCGTGGTGTAAGAGGAAAGGAAAATAATAAAAGGAAATATTTTACACATTTTGGGACCCTGTTTGGAATCTCTGGGCTCTCAGAGATTACCCAGTCTGTCTCTTCAGTTGAGAGCTGAAGAAATGAACGCCTGGAGATGGGAAGTGCCTGACCCCCTGGTTTCATCCTTGGCTGCAGCAAAATGCATCCCACCGCCTTCATTTAGTTCTGGGCCATTCATTCTCCCCTCAAATCATGTGGCTGCGCCTCTGCACTTAATGTTTCTTCTCCTCAAAAAGCGCCCCCCCCCCCCACCTGGTGACTCCTGTGCAGGATTAGCTCAGGCGGTACCTGCAGGAGGTCCACTGAGACCCCTCAGTCTGACCTGTGAGCACAGCGCCCCTTGGGTACTGCTGTCTTCCCACTTTTTTCCTATTTGCCAAACCCCTAAGGGCATAGACTGTGAATCACCCAGCTAGTACTTGGCACACACCATGGCCTCACGCACACTTTGCTCAATGAAAACTAAACCAAGGAAGCTTGGCTCTAAGTTCCAAGCTCTTAGGACACTATTACACTGCCTCTCATTCCAGAACAAAATATTTTTTTCACTGAACATGCATCAATATTTTTTCAATTTTCTTTAGATGATGAGTTAAACGTTTGCACTGTATTTGCAGCTAATTATAAATCATATGATTGAATTATATGCTATAATCAAGTATACTAATTTGCATACTTAAAGATATGCATAAGTGTTCAAGAGTAGTTATAAATGAAAGAGTTCATGGAAATTTTAATCCCTAGAATATGCAACATAACTACATTTTAAGTCTTTATTCCACACAGCACGTGGGACCTAAGTTCCTCAACTAGGGATTGAACCCATGGCCCCTGTAGTGGAAGCTTAGAGTCTTGACAGCTGGATCACCAGAGAAGTCCCAAGCTTTTACTGTCTATTAGTTCTCCAGCATTTAAAAATCAGTGATGCTCAGTTTGTTTACCAACTAAACATCATTTTATACAACATACACTGTAAGAGGTATCCTGACATGACTGTAAACACACACTGATGAAGTCACTGTACGCATCATGACTTAGAGGCACACACATCCACCTCCGCCCTACAGCACGAGACGCTGAAGGCTCAGGATCTCCGAGCTTCTGCCTCTCTCCTCTCTCAGCCCCCGGGATCCCCGAGGCCAAAAGGGAAGTGAAGCTGCCAGGCTGGGGATGGCTGGGACGAGGGGTGGAAGGAAAGCAGGGCTCATGGCGGAGGTACTGTGTGAATGGATCTTTCCTGGCAACACAGCAGACTTGTCTGAGGGGCAGACAAGAGGAGGAGACTCGCAGGTGGCCCCGGGCAGGGTGGACCAGCCCCGAAGCTGAAAGAGGCAGTGAGGCCCCCAACAGCAGAGGCACTCACGAGAAGGGGCCAGTCAGGAGAAAACGTCGACTTGTCCACTTCAGCCTCCACTGCCCAAGCGCTCAAGTATTAATGGCTTTAGAGCAGGCCCTGAAAACGGACACAGCAAACTGCAAGCCATGTCAGAGGACACAAAACCTTTTCCGCTACAATTGGCGATAAGAGGCTTACAATTGAAAACTGCAGGACTTGATTATACAACAGAACTGTGTATACTAAAGCAAAACCAGCATGTAAACATGGTAATTAAGGTATTATTTCTTCTCTGAATACGATTAGCAAACAGGTGGGAACCAGGTACTACAGACATGTGAGGGACGGGAAGGAATGGAGAGGGAATGTGTGTGTGCGCGCGCACGCGCACGCCGGTGTATTTATACTTTTTTTTGTTTTATTTACTTGCCCTGACACTCTCACCTGTGGTGGTTAAGTAATTCAGGTGAATTTGAGTAGTCTAAGCCCTGGAGTAAAAGGTGTGATTCCTCATAAGAGACACTTTTTGGATAACTACAAATATGCTTTCCTTAACCAAATTCTATGTACAACTGTGATTAAACAGAAATAGTAAGTTTATCTTTCTATGGTGTTATCTACGATCAAACATCTGTATATAGATGAAAACTATATACAAGGAACTATTTTGAAAGCTCAAGACCACATTTGATGAAACATATTTTCAACATTTGAGACAAATCTGAAAAATAAATGCAATCCAAAGAGTGTGGCATTTAATATGAAAGATGAAAAAAACCCAAAAGTTGCACATACCTTCTTTTCACCCCAGATCTTATTAACGGTGTGTTTTCCTCTCCGGGAACTTGCATCATCAATGACATCGTCATGGACCAGACTGGCAGTGTGAATCATTTCTGCAATTAAGGCAATGGCACGCTGGCTTGCTTGCACATTTCTAGTTAACAGAAAGCAATGCTTTTTAACAGAGACACCGCCTATAACCTTCTCAGCAATCATCTTGTGAAAAGTGGACATTGGATCTAGGATAAAGAATTTTACTTCTCTAAGAGAAATTGTATAAAAACTTTGGCTTCCCTACACAGCCAATTCTATCATTTGGAGAACATTTAAAAACACAGGAGATACTGTGAATCAAGGTTATGCTTTTGGGACACCACATTAAAAAGTAGAATTTGTATAATCAACAACAAAAGAAGGATAAACAGCTTGTAAGTCTGGGCACTGGACTGAAAATAAATGTCCTGTAACAGTGGTCTTGGTCAGTTGATCAAGTTTACAATTAGATTACAACTAAATTTCAGGAGTTGATGGGGAAGATAGGTGAAAAGCAATCTAGAAAATCATGTGTTAAAGAACCACTAATCACTGTTCAAGCCTTTTAATACCGTCTTACACGTTTAGTATGGAGAAGGAAGTGGCAACCTACTCCAGTATTCTTGCCTGGAGAATCCCATGGACAGAGGAGCCTGGCGGGCTACAGTCCATGCGGTTCCAAGAGTCAGACACGACTTAGTGACTAACCCACCACCACCACCACATGTTTAGTAAGACGACCTCCATAACCAAGAGAGCTGGAATTCATAATTCCACTTGGCCACTGACATTGGTTATCAATATGAATTGGTAATTCATTCATACTAGAGTATGAGTTCCAATTCATGTCTAACTTGTGCATTAGAAATTTAAACTTTCATTTCCCATATTTAACACAAAATACAGGAAAAGCACTCCAAGAAGATACATGGATATGAGTTCTACAGCTAAAAGGGGGCTTCAGTTTCTTTTTAATCATGATTATTATCACCATCAATCTTCTAGGGAAATTTAAAAAAACTGAATTTTGAGAAAATCAAACTGGGAAAATAACCAACTGAATTTTCTGAACCTAAAAACAGAAGCCTGGATCAAACACATGCTAACCAAATGTTTCACTTATTCCTCTAGCTTACTTTTCAAATATCATGTTCTCTCAGGAGAAAAGTGAAGGGGGTCCTGAAATGTGATGTTTTCTTTAAAAATCGAACCCAAAAGCCAGTGCTCCTTCTAATGCCTCAGTTCTAGCAGAAAGTCATGAAAAATGATGTACAGCTACAGTACAGATGCTGGAATTTAACTACTAAATCAACCTGAAGACTATCTTCCCATTTTGCTTCAAATATAATTTTAAAATATAGTGCTTTGCCAGCAACTCTTACCTAAGATTTTTAGAACTAAACCTCAGAACCTTCCAACTGCTTTTAGCTTGGAAATAAACTGCAAAGTGCCACTTATTATTTATTAATGTCACAATTATACCTGCTCTAAATACTTCTGGATCAAAGCCTCCTTCGTAGTAGGGAGGGACAAATGATCTGGTAAGACCACTTTAGTGAGTGAGAAAATGGAGCTTCAGAGGGCTTCTAGGAGCTTGCTCCAAATCTCTCAGTGAGACACTCACAGACCCTACAGGAAGAAGCTTGGATCTTAAATATTTTCCAGATACATTTACTGTGTCCTATCTTTCTTTGAGTTGAATGCACAAGAAAAGATGTAGACTTTTACAGCCATTTAAAAAATAGACTATTTCTTTTTTTTAGAATATTTTCTCAATGAATTTCAGTCTCATGAAACATATACTTGCTATTGGTTAATAGCAGACTCACCTTCAAACAATTGGGAAGACGTCATCTAGCCTTTCTCTGGCATTTCTAGGTCGGGCACCACTTCCATTATCACAGCAGCAGGCAAGGGCCCTGCTGAGAAACTGCAGGAAAGTGGCAGTGCTCAGCGAGGCACTGGGGTGGTTTTTTTTTTTTTTTTTGTAATTTTAAGATATTAAAATACAAAGACTTCTTGAAATAATTGGAAATTTAATAGACTCAATATGTATGTAAAAATGCCATTTTGTATGCCTAAATTGATGAAACCAGGATTCTTGCTTAGAACATTCTTTGGCATCATGACACAGCCCCTACATAGGATAGCATCACATTTTCGACGCTTCTTCATTTTATCTGATGTACTTTTTCCTGCACACTTAGGCTTTCACGTGTGTGAGATTCTGTCTGGAAGATGCTGCCACTGCATACCCAAGCACAGCACAATGGCCTGGAAGCCAAATTTACAGATTCCAGAAACAACTCACACTGTTTGAAGACGAAATCTTCCAAGTACTGAACCGAATCATGCCTTCAAAAAAAATGGGCACCGTTTCTACTTCCTGCTGTGAGAGAGCGGCCACACTTTCCCAGCTCCTGGGAGAGGAGCCAGGAAAAGCCATCCAGGCGAGACGGCGGGAGAAAGGAGGCTCCGAACCTCAGAGAGCAGAGGTTCTTGTCCCTTGCGCGTCACACCTGCAAGAGCGAGCGATGAGGCAGCCAGCCCCTCACCACCGTCAGGGGTTTCCCCCTCATCAGATTCACAACAACATTAGAACGAAGAATTAGAAGCACAGATGGGCATAGATGGAATAATATAATGACCTCTCCACATACCCTTCACCAAGCTGACGTGTGACTGAAGTAAAACACTTTTTCCTCCTATTCATGCTGATGTACAACGCTGTCTATAAATGACAAGCAAACCCCGAGAGTGAGAAAGTTGTCTCCAAAAAGAAAATCAAACCTTGTCAATGGATTACCCTGGCTTGCAACAAGTGAAGGAGGCAGATAAATTTAAATAATAAATGTGGTTGTCACTTTAACAGGGACAGAGGCATATCTATTCCTGAAACTACAGGGACTGTAAGACCAGAGAGTTCTCAGGTGGGTTACAGGAGGCTCTACTTCCTAATATTTCATTATATTCCTGTTTCTTTCTTCTGACAATTTTAAAGAGAAGCGTTTCACTTTGCTTGTTAGCACTAGCTTCAGCTCAGTTCAGTTGCTCAGTCGTGTCCGACTCTTTGTGACCCCATGAATCGCAGCACGCCAGGCCTCCCTGTCCATCATCAACTCCCAGAGATTACTCAAACTCATGCCCATCGAGTCAGTGATGCCATCCAGCCATCTCATCCTCTGTCGCCCCCTTCTCCTCCTGCCCCCAATCCCTCCCAGCATCAGGGTCTTTTCCAATGAGTTAACCCTTCGCATGAGATGGCCAAAGTACTGGAGTTTCAGCTTCAACATCAGTCCTTCCAATGAACACCCAGGACTGATCTCCTTTAGGATGGACTGGTTGGATCTCCTTGCAGTCCAAGGGACTCTCAAGAGTCTTCTCCAACACACAGTTCAAAAGCATCAATTTTTCGGCGCTCAGCTTTCTTCACAGTCCAACTCTCACATCCACACATGACCACCGGAAAAACCATAGCCTTGACCAGACGGACCTTTGTTGGCAAGGTAATGTCTCTGCTTTTTATTATTCTCTCTAGGTTGTTCATAACTTTCCTTCCAAGGAGTAAGTGTCTTTTAATTTCATGGCTGTAGTCACCATCCACAGTGATTTTGGAGCCCAAAAAAATGAAGTCTGACACTGTTTCCACTGTCTCCCCATCTATTTCCCATGAGGTGATGGGACCAGATGCCATGATCTTAGTTTTCTGAATGTTAAGCTTTAAGCCAACCTTTTCACTCTCCTCTTTCACTTTCATCAAGAGGCTTTTTAGTTCCTCTTCACTTTCTGCCATAAGGGTGGTGTCATCTGCATATGAGGTTATTAATATTTCTCCCGGCAATCTTGATTCCAGTTTGTGCTTCTTCCAGCCCAGCGTTTCTCATGATGTACTCTGCATAGAAGTTAAATAAGCAGGGTGACAATATACAGCCTTGTACTCCTTTTCCTATTTGGAACCAGTCTGTTGTTCCATGTCCAGTTCTAACTGTTGCTTCCTGACCTGCATACAGGTTTCTCAAGAGGCAGGTCAGGTGGTCTGGTATTCTAGTATTCCTTAAATCTCACCTCTTGCGCACCTTGTCAAAAACCAATATTCTTGAAAATGCAGACTGAAAGTTCCTCAGACACAGCAATTGGGATCTCTCATGACGGGGCTCAGGAACTGGGATTCTGAAGTGGCAGGCCCACTGAGTCTGACGCACAGTCACGGAAATGCTGATCTGTGAGTGGGGGGCATTCACCTGCCTTACCGCAAGCCCCAAATGGAAGCGGCTCCTGAGGAGTTTGACAGAAGTGTGGTCTCTGCTGCCCCCCTGTGGCCAAGCTTAGAAACGGCAGGCATGAGAAGTCTCTCTTGCCCGAAAGGTGACCTGAACTTGGCAGCTCAGTTCCAGCAGGGTCCTGGGCCAGCTTCTCTCCAAGGCTCTTCACAGCGTGCGGGTAGGCAGTGTCCCCTGCTCTGAAGGGCGCAGTCACGGGAGGGTGACACTCCGCATCATCTCGAGTTTTCAAGGATAGGAATGGACACCATCAGTTTGGTACTGAAGAAATTCTCTATTTAAAAGGCAAACGAAGTCTCTGTCTCTAAAATTCTTCAGGATGTGAACTGTTACCTGATGGAAGTATATATAGCCAAGTTTTCAGTACACTGAACAATATATCCGCAGAGATGCACTTTAGATTCTATCTTATCTGCCACTGAGCCGGGCGGCGGACTGCTACAAGCGTGGGCCCCTCAACGACCGACACCGTGGAAGGGGTTCTGCTTTCCTGCTGGGGTGCATCCCGAAGAGGCGCCTCCAGAGGGGGCGAGAAGCCCGCCGGGAACACGGCCCGCATGGACACGACGCGACGCGAACAGCGGCGTTTGCACTAGCTTCCTGTGGCTCTGTGACAGGTCGCCACAAATGTGCTGGTTTAAATTGACAGATACTCTCCCACCGTTCTGGAGACAAGTCCCAAAACTTGCCCTGAACTGAAACCAACGTGTTGGCAAGGCTGGGCTCAAGGGCAGGGTCCCCTCCTCACTCCTTCCAGTTCTGCTGGCTGCTGGGGACCTTTGCTTGTGGCCACAAGCTGGAAGGCACCCCCTTCAAGCCCCTCCATTTCATCTTCACATGC